GAGACAATTTATTGTCAACATTGTTCAAAAACATTTGGGTCCTTTTAAGGAAAAAAGTATAGCACTTTCAATTTTATCAGATACAGTAATACTTTGCAGTTTTGATCTATACATGTCTTAAGTCATTGAGTTAAATTGAAAATAAAGAAGGTAACTGGAAACTTCCTTGCTGTACTCCATCCGAAGCTTCAAATACCGTACAATTTGTGTTATTTACATGTATAATTTGTTTCTATTAGACGGATTTCATTTTATTTACTGAATTGATTTGGCACCAAAAGGAATAAAGACATAAGTATAGAATTATAGATATGCGACATTGAATTCACAGAATAATAATGAGATAAATATAATGACCTTGCTTGTTTTAATATTGCGTCAGTACCATTGAATAAATAATGAAACTCATCACCAATTTCTTTACAATTACATAGATTACAGAGTCTTGATTCTCTAGATATACGTGCCATCTCCCTGTTTCAACAGGGAGCCTAGCATTACCAGTTCTAAATTTACAACAAATTCTCGGAAATTTCACTGGTAAAATGACAAAATATTTCTCAAAGGATAGTGTACTCTTCAATAACCTATAGTTAAGTGCTTTTGGTGAACTGGACATTACACTATACCATGATTGTTTAAATTGATCTACAAGAGTATGATATACTTTACTTTTTAACCACTTGACATTAATCGTATTACATGTCCACATATATGATAAACCACATTCATTTAAAATTTGTTGTACAAGTTTACACCATGGTGTAAGACTCAATTACTCTAAGGGGGGTGGGGGGCTAACGCTGTCCGCATCAATTGAAATCATGATATCGTTGTTTGAAAGAATAAAACAATAATTAATTATTGCACGCAATGACTCAATTATAGCTCTCTTCAATGATATCATTTGTTCAATTAAGGACTAATTCATCAAGATCAAAACTTTACGAAGATCTTGGCTGGGATACACTTGAAATAAGAAGAAAAATACATAAACTAGTGTTATATTATAAAATAGTGTATGGATTAGCTCCCCAGTATTTGCAAGATTTATTCAACAATGCATTTTACCACATAATTCTTATCCTTTAAGGAATCAGGACAATCTTACATTTCATATTCCCCAAGCCAAAAAGACTTCATTTATGAAAAGTTTCCTCCCTTCAACTATAAGACTTTGGAATGATTTACCCTTTAATATTCGAAACCTTTGTACACTTTCATCATTCAAGACTGCCATAAAGAATATATACTGCTTAAAACCTAAGAAATATTACAACTATGGAAGTCGAAAAAATGAATATTACATTGTCAATTGCGAAATAATGCTAGTAATTTAAATGCTGATTTATTTAATCATTTTTTAAGGGAAGATCAAAATTGTGACATGTGCGGATATAGCTCTGAAACATCATTTCACTTTTTAGTGAAATGTCCAAAATATTGTGTACAAAGGCAAAACCTTATGCAAAACTTCAATACTTTGCAATTACCAATGCCTATATCCTTACAACTTATTTTGAATGGAGACAATAATCTTACTTACAACCAAAATATTGCCGCATTTAAAATTGTTCACTGATTTATTGCATGTACAAAGAGATTTGCATGATATTGTTTCTTCTTCTTTTTTAATTTTGTCAAACCACAGAACCAACATCTACTTATGTGTTCTTATTAACTTTCACATTTATACTTGTTTTATTATAATTATCAGTCATATATGTTAAATGCAAACTTATATAGTATCATCAGCTCATTTATATTTTTCCCCTACTTCTTTTGTCTTCTTCTTATATATATATATATATATATATATATATATATATATATATATATATATATATATATATATATATATATATATATATATATATATATCTTTAGAATATACACATGTATATATTTTTTTCAATGTTATGTAATTAATATTTACTTGTAACATGTATGACTCGACCTGTATTGTGAAGAGGACTTATATAGGCAGTGCCTGCTGTCCAATCCATTTATGTTTAATCATAATAAAATATTGTTTAAATAAGAATACCCACAGAAAAGGGAACCAGATCTAAGTTAATTGAAAAAAAAATTGATATAAATAGAGCATAATTCTTGGGAAATGCATTTAAAAAAGCGGTAGTTTTATTCATATTAATTTTAGAAAGGACAACCTTGTGTCGCACATAAAACCAGGAATGCCAATGCCGAAGTTAACTTTCTTGATCATTTCAATGCTACAATTATTTCTGGGTGGGTCTTTGCTTCTCCCTATAATTTCTGGCAGATCAGATCGTGTCCTTTCCAAATACATGTATACTAAAGACCATTGGCTTGAGCACGACAGACCTAAACCTTAGTACACCTGCATCCCTTAAGGAGTAGACGACCCCTATTGCTCCTGGGGTCACAGGTCGTTTTTAAATTTTTAAGAAGTTGTCTATTCAGTATCACGAGCTTCCTTTGATTGATGAACATCACATTTGCTAAACTTGTGCCCTGTACTTTTGGAACACTTGTTGCCCCCTTGAAAAAATTTAGCCCATACTTATTTTGGAGTAATAAGGTCATAGGTCAAAGTATAGTTCAATATTTCATTAATCTTTTAAAAAAAAATGATTGATTAGTAATTGTGTTAACTCCTAAATTATAGATAAAACCTATTGATTCAAAACACAAGGTCAAAAAGTTTCAATTAAAGTTCAAAATAGTATGACATTTACTACACTTTGCTTGATAGAACATGAATCTGAGAACAAGGACTGACTGTCTCTGTTTAATAGATGACTATTGATCAACATTGTCAGTGATTTAATATTAATTAATTTTTAGATGACCATTTTCAATGTTACACCTAGGGACCAATTATGTTTCAACACATTCCTTGTTCTTTTCAAGCAAGTTATAGTCCTGAGCTATGGGCCCTATTCTTTTTCAAGCCTATCATGCGTAATACGAAAGATACTGGACCAGGAACCAGACCTGTAAAAGCTAGTCAGGTGCTCTAACCACTGAGATACCCAGGCTGATGTCGACAGCATAAATCACTACAATATGTGGTGAATTACTAATTCCTCTCTTTTTTTATCCAAAGAGAAAACTACTTATCAATGTTCCAAGATTTTTAATTCTTTTTCTTTACATATTTTCTACTGTATACTACCTTATAAGTAAACAAATTTAAGTACATTTAATAGCAATGACGATGTAGATATGTAACAATAATGACATCTCCGTTGCCACTGGCAAACTATAAGCACACAAACCACAACATTTGTACATGGGGTGAAATTAATAATATATACACAATTATATACAAAGGGCCAAGGTATATATACAGTACCAAAACACAACAGAAAAAGAATTGAAATAAGAACCAGAAGTCTCTGTCAAGAGTGTAACTCTACTGGTTTGTAATTTTACAATAGAGAAAAGTTGCACTTGGACATAAAATTATGGCAACAGCAATAAATAATTAATGATCATTGATTTAGTTATATTTTTTGTGCAACCTTTATTTAAAATCATACCAAACCTTTAGGAGGAGTAGCATTTTGAAAGAATTTCCCATAAATCATTATTTTTAGTAACCTTGAAAACACCTTCATAGAAATAAAAGCTGATACTCAGAATTACATCTTAGTGTAGCCTATGTGTGCTTCAAGTTATACTGAATTCAGACTAAAACTGTAGGAGGAGTAGCATTTTAAAGAATTGTTTATAGACAAAGAGATGAATGGACAGATGGATGGATAATGGACACCTTACTATTGCATAAGCTCTTATAGTCTCTGACCAGTGGAGCTGAATAGGGTAGAAAATTCGAAGAAGACGACAACATTAGAAATTTTAAGAAAAAAAAAATGTACATAGTTTCATTTTGAGCTGTCATTAATGCAACAAATTTAATGATATTAGGTCTATTAGAATAATAATTGCCCAGGTAATCTTTTCTTATCTTATAGTTAAAGCTTTACATCTAGAATATAATGAAATTTATCAACAACTTGACCATTAATACAAAATTCTACATTACTAATAATTGGAAAATATAAGGCTACTACGTATAGTTTCTAATTGGTCCTCTTTGCATTCAAAATTATAGCTCTAAACTTGTACATGTAAATGGCAACCAAAATACACATCTTGAAAAGCAGCATGCAATAAAGAAATATTCCTTAAGTGCACATACAGAGTTTATCTTTATGGTGATATAACATTAACTGGTCATGTCTAACCTTATAATAGAACACTAACATACAGTATTCAATTTCTCCCATTAATTCCATACTCACTGCCCAGGGCAACTTAGTGTGCATATTCACAAGCATAGTTTTAAACACAATTTGCATAGTTTGAAACAAAATAAGGTAAAAACATTTAAATGACTGAACAAGTGACAAAATTGAGTATGTGTACAATATGTAATACATATATAAAATAATTAAGCTTGTACATAATACTTCTGGTAGATACCTTAATGAAGAGAACATTTTTTTTTTCTCTTCACCGATGAAATCAGATTTCTGTTTAATGTTTTGACAATGATTTTAATGTTTCTTTACTGTTTGTGTTCATTAGCTCATTAAAATTAATTATGTTGCAATTTGTACAATAACAATCAAGAACACAATATACATAAAATGCATGGAATTTTGTTGCAGCAATTACAGTAAAAATACCTTGCAGTTATATTAATTAATAGTAATAATATTTCTAATGTACACAGTACACAATTCTTTTGCTAAACCTTTCTCATTTCAATTAGTCAACAATTCAGCCAGGGAATATCATAAGCCTGACAATATTCAAGAACAATAATTCAATACTTAATTTTAACTCTATATACAGTCTAAACTCATTGTCTGGAACTAGAAGGAACCAAGAAAGAAAATTCAATATATCTGAGGGTTCAAGATATTGAGGGTAAAAAGTGCATGTCACTTCCAAATTACTTCAACATTGCAATGGTATTTTCAAGAATAGTGTTCAACTGATACCAGAGTTCAGCTGCATCTCTTTGCACTGGAATGTGAAATTGAACTGTTTTAAACGGATGCCAGTTTTAACAAATTCTTGTTCCAAAGAAACAATGTGCAGTGCATCATGAAATTATTCGCTGTCATATATGAGAGTTGATCCTTTATCCTTTTTAGTCCCGCATTTGCCTGCTCATTACACTGGCTGTTTATGGCACAGAACTGTGGGTATAAGGATAGATCATAGGCAAGGCTACAAGCTGAAATGCAAGGATGTCAATGTTAAACTTACAATATATCTGAAATACATCTTTTCCAAAAGGAAATTCATGGCCACTCCGCAACATACAAATTCAAATAAAGTTTTAATAATTCTTTAGTATAATTCTTTATGAATCATGTTACAAAAATTCCATTAAAAATTCTCAGTAAGTTTAGACTTCATCATGGGCCAGAAATAGTCTAATAATATAAAAACAAAATTAAAACCATTCATACTAACACAGCTCTCCTGATACAGCCAACAGATTTTCAGTACATACCAGTATGATTATCCCAGTGCAGTCTATCAACATAAAATTCTGATGTCTGGAAAAACAAAGGGTCCCTGCTCAGACAGTACTGCTGTAGTTTACAAGCATTATCATATATGATGTGCTTGGGTGCTGAAAAAAATAAAGAGAATGTACAAATTAAATTCTTACTAATTAAGGAATGAATTTAATAGCTACCCAAGTTATACGGTATAACCTGGGTTGGGGCAGTTTACGCTTTATAAACCGCGAAGCGGTTTATAAAAAAGCGTAAACTGTTCCAACCCAGGTTATACCATATAACTTGGGTACCTATTAAATTATTCATTCCTTATAATTTAATTTTCTATCATTAAATGTAGGAAAAAAAGACAATTTCACCTCAAATATGACATTAAATTGTACAAAATTTAAACGTAACGTCAAGCGGATTGATACGTTTTTGACGCAAGTCATTGTGACGTAGGCAACCCAGGTTATACAGTATAAACTAATTTTTCAGCCAATCAAAAAGTGTGTTAAAACCAGAATGAAATCATTCATATATATTGTGCACATGATACAATACCAGATGTAAACATCAATACAATGTATCACAATTTTTCCATTACCTTTTCTAAATCTTGTTCGTAAAATCGTGAATGGCACATTAGGGGACTCATTGGATTCCATGACTTGGAAACCATAGCAAACACCTGAAAAATGCGGGGAAAAAATCACACATAATGTAATACATGTACATGTACTAATATTAAATAGCATTTTAGAAATTAGGAAGTAAGCAATTCATATTTCATTTGTAATAAAAAAAATCAGTTTGAAAATTAATAGCTACAAAAGTCAAAAAGTAAGTCTCTGTGGCCTAATTTTGGGTCAAAATAAAATGAGGTCCTAAAGATATGCAAGATTTGATGATTCAAGTATGAAATTGAAGTTGCACAATCACATCATTTTAAGTCAATTTTAAAGTGACCTTGAAACCATGCCCTTTGCCTTTTCAAAATCATTCTACTAAATATCCTCATCTTTATGTGTAAGTTTTGTGATAATCTGCCCAGTGGTCCTTGAGAAGATTTTTTAGCAACCATTACATTCTTTTTTATATTCCCCCAACTATCTCCTAATTTATGTGTCTTATCCCTATAACTAATATAAATGAAAAGTTTTGCCTTCTTTTTCTATTTATTTATGTGATAAATTAAATAAAAATTAGCCAAAGGATTATTGGGATTTGACCCACTTTCCAAAAAAATTTACACATATCATACAGCAGGTCATAGCATTAACTACGTGAACCTTCAGCTCTTCTAAATCATTAAAAATTTGGTTGATTGAAACAAAAGTTACAAATAAATTCCAGAATAACATAACACACTTTTACATGTGATACTTTATATTGTTCCCACCTGTGTTAACATTTGCCTTTCTGACAATTGTCTCGATCTGTGCATCTCATAAACTTCTAGCTCATAACTCTACACATGAGTTTATCAAATGTTGTAGGAAGATACTAAACTGCCTTTTTGCCGGAAGTAAAAATTCTTCACCAAATACTATGATGTACAAAGTTTTCAAGAAATGGACAAATTTTAACATATCATAGACATTGCCACAGTGCCAAAAAATGATACTCATGAATGCATGTAATCTATATATCCCTATCATTTTAAATCAAATAACCTTGTTCTATAAAGTTCACTGCTTTCAATAGGAACAAAGGAACTAAACTCAAAGTCTAACACACTACCATCTCATTTGTAGGATACAAACAGGTTCCTTGTCAGTAAAAATTAAGGTGAACATAAATGTCTGGAGAGTTTATAAGTAAGAAAAATTGAAGCAAGAAGGACAATGCTCTCAATGTATGTATGTTCTCAAAGAATGTACATATGTACATTCTACATATCTGCCATAAATATTTATTTACCATGTGGGCAAAATATGGTGAAAATTCCTGGTAGCAAGCTTGGGTGACCTAAAGATTTCTTCACACAACCATCACCTACATTCTTCTTCTTCATAGTTTGACCACTTTTTCTGTCCATTTCAAAGAGACCCCTGTTTCTGTATTTCACTAAAGAGGGAAAAAAACTCATTTCTTCAACATCTACAGACTCTTCAATGGAATCGTCCTCCACGGCATCCACAAATGGGTCTATGGCAATCTCCCATAGTTCTTCCAGTAAAAGCTTAAGGTCAGTCATGTCAGCACCACACTCAAATATTTCAAATAATATTGGAACTTTTCTGTGGAGTAAATCCAACTTTACAGGATCTTGTCTGAGATTTTCTCCACGGGAAATGCTGGATATCACCTGCTTGACTTCTAGTGTCGGTTTAATAAGAGAGCACACAGGTGATGGGGAAGCCAAGCACAGGAGAAGTTTCTGTAAATGCTTCAGAAGAGATTTATTTTCTTCTATCTTCAGAAGAACAGAATACAGCGCAGGAGATATTTCTTCAATGCTGGTTAGAAGATATTTCCTCTCTTTCTCATTTAATGGTTGGTGTTTCACCCCTCTAATAACCGTTCCATCTGCTGAGTATCGCTTTAGAAGCTTTCGAACGTCCCCATCAGGGATGAATGTTCTACTAAAATGCCTGTGAAAATAATACATTACTTAATGACACATTATAATTTAAGTCATTTCATAGTCTAATTATATTAACTGACAAAGGACTTTGTTTATTTTTAATGATACATGATGTGGAAATACATCAATAATCTCAAACTAGAACTGTCCAAAAGGGACAAAAATCTCGTCTACAGACAGACGGACAGACAGACAGACAGACGGACATGCTGATTCCGATATACCCCCCTAAACTTCGTTTGTGGGGGGTATCATAATGAAAAAATGGTAAAAATTTCCATTATAAGAGAGTGTTAAAGATATGAAATAGATAGCGATACTTGCTTCGAACAAGACAGGTGCAGAACATTATTACTGCTTTCTTTTTCCTTCCAGTCCCACATACGCCTCTGGAAAGAGAGGGATGTGCCATCACAAACAATGGTGTCAGGTGGAACTTCATCACCTCCGCAATGTGGGCAGGAAAATCCCAGACTAAAATCAATGTCCAACAATGACAGAAAGCAGTGCCATGCATTGCGGAGTCTTTGATATGAGAAGTCTTCAATCTGAGTGTTGCCATAGTCAAGATGGACATCACACCAAGTTTGGTAAAAGGTGTACAATGGTCTCCTATTAAAAAAAAAAGAATCAACATAACAACGTAATTAGTAGAAGACTAGATACAACTACTTAGTAGTACACTCTGTACAATAATATCAAAAACAACATGTAATCATGAAGAGGGTGACATAGAACTATCACTCATATGTGAGTGAGAATTATATATATTTTAAAAATATATACAAACAGACCTAACAAAAGGGAGACTGATTGATATGATAATTTTTTTATACCATTCTTTTTCTTACAACTCCTTCTGTATAAATTTGAAATTCTTAGCAAGAATGAAAACTTCACGACTCATTGTATCACTCCATATATATATATATATATATATATATATATATATATATATATATATATATATATATATATATATATATATATATATATATATATTGTTCATGGCAATGGAATACAGAATTGCCAATCTGTTAACCATAAGAGGTTCCGACCGATTAATAGGTTAATCATATAAAATATTCTCTCATCATTGAAAGCTCCTTAAATAAACATTAACAGGACTATAAGTAAATTATACATTATTTCAATTTTAATAAAGAATAAACAAATAAAAAAAATTAAATAGATAAATAAATGAATGAATAAATAAATAAATAAATCCTTGAGACATGCCTAGACTATAAGATGCATGTAATACTGTATATTCCAAATAATTACGGTATGTCAAACATACGGTATATTCCAGACCTGATGAATCATCCCTATCAAGATGGACAGACAGACAGAGGGTCATGGTGATTCCAGTGTTTTCTGTGAACTTTGTCATAGATTTGGGAAAAAATGAAAAAGGGCATTCATTTGTATAAGCAAAACTTACTTTCCGTGTAGAAAACTGTGCATGTAAGAGCGCAGTACATCATATCCAACAAGATATGTCCCCAAGTTTAGCAAACCCTTACACTGCCCCTCAAATAAGGCTACAGAGTCACAAACTGTGCATGGTCTATAATACGCTGAAAAATAATTACAATAATAAATACTGTTTCCAATATTCTAACAGCAAATCAAAATGAAAAGCCAATCTGCATTCAGTTTCAAAAAATGAAATTCTAACAAGAGGTCAATGGAACACATCACCTGAGCACTTTTGGGAGGACTTCAGTATTGAAAAATTTAAATTTATAAGTGGTCCCAACCTACTCCTAAAGGGAGGTGGAGGGCAGGGGAGTGTATGATGTTTGAACAAACAAATCCACACTAACTGATGATGCCTCCATATTTCTTTAAATAGTCATGGTTTTAGAAGAATTTTAAAGATTTTTTTCTTTTTGTATTATCTTCTATTGTGGCCCTGCCTACCCCGTCATAATTTGAACATTATCTTGAATCTATATGGATCCACAATTACAGATCTAATGACCAATAAGGAAAACAGCTTGTAATACGACCTCCATGAGGACTTGAACTACGACACCTCACACCAGCATATTTCATGAAGCACATCAGCACTTTATGATAAATATGCAGGGATGAAGCATTGTACTTCATCTATTATGAATTCTCAAAAATTAAATATTTTTTATTTTATATTTACATAATATGTCTGATGACTTGTCACAAGCTTATGTCCTTCAATGATCATTTTTGAGACAAAACAGTTTGCACTATAGTTTTGACATCAAGTACGCTATTATGGCGTCACTTGCTCATCCTTTGTGCATCAGAAATGAATTGTTTTCTAAAATATAAAAATATAAGGAAACATAAATATGTTAGTTTGGCACCCATGGATCTTTTAAATGCCCCCCCCCCCCACCCGAACTTTTTTTAACATATTCCACAATCAATAGGCCCAAGGGCTTTGAATCACTCTTCTGATAAACTGTACAACCTATTTATTCTATTTGAAGCCTCTAAGTATCCTGTATACATGTTTGTAAATAAAGCTTTGAAATTTTAAAGGTAGGTCATCATGACCAACATTTTAGATGAAACACTCTGAGTACCCAAGATGATTCTAAGCCAATTAGTACCCAAAAGTAGGTCATGGTGACCTACTTATTACTTGTCATTCTCTGAGGACCCGAGATGCATCAACTAAGTTTGATGATTCTAAGCCAAATAATATCTAAAATATTTAAAAAATTATAACCATAAAATGTCAAAAGTAGGTCACAGTGACCTATTTTTCAAATGACATACTTTGAGAACCAAAGATGCATCAACTGACAAATTTTGATGATTCTAGGCCAAATAGTACCCTAAATATTTAAATATAGCCATAAAATTTCAAAAGTAGGTCACGGTGACCTACTTTTCACTTGACGTTTTTTGAGGACCCAAGATACTTCAACTTACAAAGTTTTATGATCATAGGCCTTAAAATGTCCAAATTAGGCCTCTAACACACTTTCAAATTGAATGACTCTAAAGTTAAAAAGTAGGTAACTGTGACCTACTTTTTAATATCTTTTATGGTCCCAAGATGCACCATCGTACAAGATTAAGTTATTCTAAACCTCTCACTATTGGAATTAATGACCTTAATTGTTTTGAAAATAAATTCAAAAAGTAGGTCATGGTGACCTTCTTTTGAGTCAACATGATATGAGGTCCTTAGATGCATCAACTGACAAGATTTGATGATCCTAGTCCTTATAGTAAGCAAAATATCAACATTTTAAGAAAATGTAATTTTTGGTCCACTTTGAAGTGACCTTGAGACCACGCCCTTTGCCCCAGGGTAAATCCCCACGCAAATTCTAATCTACAACATATCCTCATCCTTTTGTGTAAATTTGGTGATAATCTGCCCACTGGTTATTGAGAAAAAGATTTTTTAGCAACCAGTATTTCTGTTTCTATTTTCTTAATTATCTACCCTTGTTTAAGGGTCACAACCCTAGTTTTAGTATAAATGGAAGCCCTTGGGCCAAGAATACCATGTAACAATAATTGGACAAGGGGTTCTTGAGTTATGGCCCATATTCTAAAAAGTTTACGCACACCGCACAAATGGCCATAGCATTAGCTCTTTGAGCCTTTGGCTCAGAAGAGCTAAAAGGTCAATAGTAAAAGAACATTATAAATAGGTTAAAATACATACACTTTACATACTGTACAGTTGTATTAGTGACAACCAAGGCACAGTCGTATGCAATCCAGTTGTTTTCAATGGGATCCCCAACCACTAAATCCCCAAGACAGTGGCTACAAACCATTTCCTCCGGCAACAGAGGTCCAATATCATTGGACTTTAAATTTCCAAGTATGTTTGACAGTTCAGCTGATCTGAAGAATGGAATTTTTCTCTTGGATATTAGCTTCTGTTTATATATATTCTTGGGATTATCATTTTCAGAGGAGACTGTGCTAAATCTTTCAAGAAGGTCAAAGTATAAGCTGTCTTCCTTATTGGCCATAAGATCTCTGACGGTGGTTACATGCAAGCATCTTTTGTTGGTACAAGATAAACATGAAAGAGTCTTTTTCTCAAATGCTACAAGGGCAAACTTGTTACAGTTCACTCCACAACAACAAATGAGCTGTGCCTCCGGAACCTCGTACAGGATATTTCCTCTCTAAAAATCAATTTTATGCAATTTGTATTACTTAAAGCAAAATGTCAACTCATTTATAGAGACAATTTTTAACAGAAGACCAATAGGCCAATAGGCCTTTACTATTTCTTTAGTAACAATATGCTCATATATATGAGAGCAAATCAGGGTTCAGCAATTTTCCATCCCAAGAATTATTTTCTTCCAATCAATTAAATTGCTTTACAGCTTTCTTAACCCATGACTGAACAGGTTTATCTATTCTATAATATCTATTCTATAATATATTTGTACTACAAATGTAAATATTAGAACATTTTATTTAAATATGTGTATGTTAACCTTAGGACATTTATTATGGCCCCTTCCTGGACTCCAGAGGTTAGGATTTCAATAAACTTTATTCTACCATATACTTGCCAGAATTTAATTATACAGCTGTGCTAGCAAGCTAGTTCTGGAGAAGAAAATTTTAAACAAGAGGCTAAAGGGGCTTATCAATCACATGAGAATGATACAACACTGTCAAGGATCCAAAGAAGTATAAAATTAAAAAAAAAAAAAAAACAAAGGCCCATAAGAGGCACATTTGCTTATCATAACTATCCACTTAGTTGAAAAATTTCAAATAATTAATGTTTTCTTTAACATATAATCAATAGAGCCCCCCTCCCCCTCATAACACTCCCTGAACCAGGGTCCATGAAATTCACAAATTTTGGAAGAGGTATCCTTGTTCATCAAAACCATGCACTCAGTTCATCAGCTTAATACCCAGGTGCAGAGAAGAAGATTTTCAAAGAACTAATGCACCTTCACTATATAATTATTTAATAGAGAAACCACCCGAACACCAGTTTGTTTGCTGAATACCCAGGACCAGAGGAGAATATTTTTTAAAGAGAATGCATTTTCAATATATATTCAACAGAGCCCTGCCCTTGGAGTGAAACCCCTGATCCTGGGGCCATGAATTTCATCATTTTGGTAGAGGGCTCAATGCTTATTACAATTCATGTCAACAGTTTCAATGCTTGATATGCAGGAATGGAGATGAAGATTTTTAAAGATTCCATTTATTTTTATGGTTTTAGCCCTCACCCCTAGCCCCCACCCCTAAGGCCCCGGGGACAGGGGCCATGAATTTAATATTTTTTTTCTCCTCCACCCAAAGATACTAAATGCCAGAATTAGTTAAAATTCACTCCATGGTTCTAGAGAAGAACAGTGACTCAGGTGACCTAAAAATAATACCACAGTATTTTCACTATTGTAATTATCTCCCCTCAAAAAGCAATACTTGACCTTTTATTTGAAGAAGCTGAATCCCCTTTACCTAATGATACTTTGTACCATTTTTAGTTACAAATGACCATGGGCTCATTTTGGAAGTTAAAATATGAAAAATTTACACAAATACAGACAGATGAATGCCATTCCATTCATTCAGATGATATAAAAACACTACATATTTACTTTTTCATTTTACAGAGCTGTTTAGAAATTCCTAAATAAACTTTAAATTTAATTAAAACTTACTAAGGAGTATCCATGCTCATCACCTGAAAGTAGAATGAAAAAAAGTAATTAAAACCCATATTTGGCATCATTCAATCACCATGGAAAAGGTACAGAATGGATTTTTGCTTGCCTCCAAAAAAATTACATGTTTGAAAATTTACATAACAAACACACACATCAATTATTACAATTAGGGATGTCAAAGTGATTTTTTAGCAAAATATTTTCATTGCTTGACTGCATTGTTCACAGCATAGTTAAATACATGTCAAAACATTTTCAGTAAATGAATGATCTACACTTATTCATAACAACTTTTCTCTGTTTGTTTGTTTCTGCCATAAGAAATCAGACAAGGGCAACTTCATTCACAAATCTACAGTAACAAATTTCATCAATGACTACATTGTGTTTTTGAAAGAATTCTGAAATCAAGGGCAATTTCATTCATGATTTGAACAAATCCATCTCCCTTTATAATACTAAGCAACAGATTTTTTTACACAATATTCTTCATTACATTTGTAATAGCTTTGAATAACAAAGCACACAATATTTTGGAGGATTGATTGAGACACTTATACAGTTGTTTAGCCTGCTTTAATGTACTGGGATGTTTCTTTTCCAAATATTAAAGCATATCAAACATCATTTCACAGTACTAGTATGTTAATGGGGTCTCACACAATGAGCACTGAAAATGTCTTTTCAACAATACTATCAAACTGTTGATTTTTTATTCTGTTGACATTAAGACTATAGTTTGAAACATGACAAAAACTATAGGGGTGACTGATACTCTGTCTATCTAAATTTATAATGTATAATATTATTACATTTTCTTATTTGCTAATCTTCTTATTGAAATGTAATCCTTTAAAGAAATATTTGATTAGTAGAGTATTGGTTGACATACTTAATAAAACAAATCTCTTTTTTGCATAATAAACAATCAAGATTTTAAAAATCTTTCAAGGTCAGTTTAAGTATCTAGTACATGTACATGTATATGCAACTGAGACAAAATCCGGTTAATCAGTAGTACATGTATCTTTCTTCACTTTTATAAATTTTTTAATATTAATTGACAGATTAGTGCTGATATAAATTTTATCTTTATGAGTTATACATTAACTATTCATTATCTGCTACACGTACATGTACACTCATGAAATTTGTAAACAAATATAATTTTCAATAAACAGAAATCCTCTGAGTTCAATACTTCAAGATTTGATTACATGCATGTGACAAAACACCATCTCTTTTTTGCATGTTGCTAGCAGAGTACTTACATGTACCAGTATCTCCTTCTGAAGGAGGTGCAATATCATGAACAAAGTCATATTTCTCCAAAATCTTCTTTGCAACCTCTATATGGATGCATTCACTGTCCAGACTAGAAAATTCTGCAAGTAAATTTTTCACAGATTTAGCTACCAGTATTTCGACAACAAATAATCCTTACAAATGATTTGGAATGGCCAGAGGATTCATCAATTATGAACTGTGAATAATTTTGACTATCCTTGTCCAAACTTATTAAAAGATCTAAGTGGTCATACTTTCAAGGAGGGATTGCATGTGGTTTAAAACTTCATTCTAAGACAATTTATCTCTTACTTCATTAACTTGTTGTCTCTTTCAATCAACTAGAAATTTCATAAACTTTCAAAAATTAAACACTTACTATCATTTCTCCAAACATTAACTTATGCATAAACCCAAAAGCCCTGATTTAAACATACAAGTGTATATAATTGTATTGCTTGTTTTTGAAAAAAAAACCCAGAAGTTTACAAAAAGAAATATATGTTAACTAACTTTAACATGATTATGGTCAAGCAAAATATTTAAAATTTCAAAACAACACTTTTTAAAGCAAGTTCAAGAACAATACTTATTATACACAGAAAGAAAGAAATCCATACCAGTATATGCCCTTTTCAGATGGTGGTCAAGGGTTGAAATTGCTCTTGCTCTGTTTTCATTACACTGGCACCAATATATCCACCTACAGTCTCCATCTTTAAATGTGAAACTCCTCCTTTCCAAAAGCACATACTTGTCATTCTTCAATATTAAGAAATGACAATTGCTTATATTTTTTAAATTTTGTTTATATTTTTGTCTGTATAAAAAAATCATATAAAGTAGGTTTAAGTACATTGCATTGTATTATTGACATGTTTCATTGATCGAAAAGCACGACTGCATAAGAAATCTAGTCAGTGCTTGAAAAACCAGTTCTAATTTGCAATTACTGATTTACCAGTAAAGAAGTAGTTTTCATAAGAAATAAAGGAGGAAATCTTCAGTGGATTTTAATATATTAGAAACAAAACCCTCAACATGTACATCTAATAGAGAAATATTTTTGAGATACAATGATTTTAAACAATTAAATTTAAATATTTTTTTTAACACTCACCAATCTATGCAGTAAAGATGTTTAAAAGTGATTCAGACTTGTAAATTCCAGTATTTTGATAAGAAATTTCACATGCTATTCATTACTTACTGGAAACACTTCAAAACTATCACTAATAGGAGGGTTTGAAACTTAAATTTATCAGCTTTAAATTATGTTCAAGTCAATTAAACTGTAAGCCTTAAAAATGCTATTAATTTCATTTAAGAATACAACTTTCACTGTTATCCTTTTAAATGAAAAAATATGACAGTAACGTACATGTGTTTTCTTTCTGGAAACATTGTAGTCTTTAATGACCAGAATCCTTTCATTTCCAGGAAAAAGTGTTATCCCTTTTGTGTGGGTCAGGTCCTGGAAATAGAGCTCAACTTCACTGAAAAATGTGTCTACCTGAAATAGAACATCAAATACATTACAACTTCATTAAAAATGTATTTACAATTAGATTTCATTTTTTATGTAATACAATTACATATATACATTTCATTACTTTCTCCCAACTATGGGAAGTTAATCACTCAGCATCGAGATCAGGTGCTTATTGTGTGAGTGGGAGCACATGGTCTTTCTTAGGTAAGCGTTTCTTACCAAGATTAAGATTCGAACTCTAGACTCTCTAGTAATTTACTCTATTCCTAATCTGCTTCTGGTCAATTACTGAGATTTCCAGTTATTTTTTAAAAGGAGAGAAGAATGCTCAATTTTTCCTCAGATTAAATTTAAATTTTTATGGAATGCAAAGCTGTTCATGAAGTAATCTCACATATTTCGTTTATCTACATGTAATTATGTGCATTACATCAAAACATGGAGTCTGACCAAACCTGCGCTTCATATTTCTCAATCAAATTATTGAGACAAAATACTCATTTTTCTTTCAAACTCATTCAAATGTTAAATTTACATACATTTTTGGGTGTACTTAGGATGTCATGGTGGATAAAATTTGTAATGCTTTGAAATATCCTCCTGTCTTTGAACAGAATTTAAGATTTCCCCATCAAAGATTGATTTTGCATTGTGTGGGATGGAGGGCATTAAATTGGCCATTATTGAAAATAGTTCTTTATCTTTAATGAACAGTAACAATAAAAATATACACTGATAAAAATTGCATTACCACTTCTGCCTGTGTGCATGTACTTGTACTTGGAAGAACTTCAGCAGGGGCACATAGAGACTCTCCAGTGTAAGTACAGGGTTTCCTAGTGGATGTTCCTGGCATACTACAGCTACTGGAATAAACAATGTCCTTCTCTCTGGCTCTTGTTGAAAAATTATATATAGGGTCATTTTTTTTCCTAAGATTAAGTTTGTGATGTTTTATAGTTTGGCTCTTGTATTTAATAGGCTTGCCTAGGATCTTCTTTCTGTCCTCATCATCCATGGCATCACCTGCATGTCAAAACAAGAAAAATAATTATTAAAAGTTTCCAACTATAGACACATATTAGAATACTATAACAATAATATTTTGAACACCATTAGCTTTTAAATTATCATATCATGCAAGTCAATTATATGTCAATGGTCTCATGCTACAGTGTAGTAAACATGAGACCATGTGTGTTTGTGAGTGTTATATGTCAATGGTCTCATGCTACAGTGTAGTAAACATGAGACCATGTGTGTTTGTGAGTGTTATATGTCAATGGTCTCATGCTACAGTGTAGTAAACATGAGACCATGTGTGTATGTGATCGTTAAATGTCAATGGTCTCATGCTACAGTGTAGTAAACATGAGACCATGTGTGTTTGTGAGTGTTATATGTCAATGGTCTCATGCTACAGTGTAGTAAACATGAGACCATGTGTGTTCATGACCATTATATGTCAATGGTCTCATGCTACAGTGTAGTAAACATGAGACTGTGTGTGTTTGTGATCGTTATATGTCAATGGTCTCATGCTACAGTGTAGTAAAGATGAGACCATGTGTGTTTGTTACTGCTATATGCCAATGGTCTCATGCTACAGTGTAGTAAACATGAGACCATGTGTGTTCGTGAGTGTTATATGTCAATGGTCTCATGCTACAGTGTAGTAAACATGAGACCATGTGTGTTTGTGAGTGTTATATGTCAATGGTCTCATCCTACAGTGTAGTAAACATAAGACCGTGTGTGTTTGTGACGTTATATGTCAATGGTCTCATGCTACAGTGTAGTAAACATGAGACCATGTGTGTTTGTGACTGTTATATATCAATGGTCTCATCCTACAGTGTAGTAAACATGAGACCATGTGTGTTTGTGACCGTTATATGTCAATGGTCTCATGCTACAGTGTAGTAAACATGAGACCATGTGTGTTTGTGAGTGTTATATGTCAATGGTCTCATGCTACAGTGTAGTAAACATGAGACCATGTGTGTTTGTGACCGATATATGTCAATGGTCTCATGCTACAGTGTAGTAAACGTGAGACCATGTGTGTTTGTGAGTGTTATATGTCAATGGTCTCATGCTACAGTGTAGTAAACATGAGACCGTGTGTGTTTGTGAGTGTTATATGTCAATGGTCTCATGCTACAGTGTAGTAAACATGAGACCATGTGTGTTTGTGACCGTTATATGTCAATGGTCTCATGCTACAGTGTAGTAAACATGAGACCGTGTGTGTTTGTGCCATTATATGTCAATGGTCTCATGCTACAGTGTAGTAAACATGAGACCATGTGTGTTTGTGACCGTTATATGTCAATGGTCTCATGCTACAGTGTAGTAAACGTGAGACCATGTGTGTTTGTGAGTGTTATATGTCAATGGTCTCATGCTACAGTGTAGTAAACATGAGACCATGTGTGTTTGTGAGTGTTATATGCCAATGGTCTCATGCTACAGTGTAGTAAACATGAGACCATGTGTGTTCGTGACTGTTATATGTCAATGTTCTCATGCTACAGTGGTTTTGGTATGTGAGTCTATCTTGATGAGTTAAAGATCATGTTTGCATTTCATTCTTCTTCAATGATTTCTGAAGGAATCGTGGCCCACACCGATTGCATGGGGACTTGTCCATGCAAAACTGTCAGAATACTTCTTAACTAAATAGTCATGCCTAGCAAGGAACCTATGCATATTAATGACTCGGAATAAATGTTTTTAACTCTTTGTCTTTCACATTTGTCATGAACTATGTTAAAGGTGTGAAGTTTGATAATATTTCCCAAGTTGTTAGTGATTTGCATTGCACTGTTGTCAAGATGTGAATCAATGAAATGTTTCTAGTTATATGATTTACCCTGGCAAGTGCAATGTCTGTTATAAAACCAAACATACTGGATATTACAATTCCTTCTCATATGTAATTTTAAAACACCTGAAAGTTGAATTGGTAAACTCTGACATACCTTGCTAACAATATTCACAATGTCTTCAGCTCTTTGAATGACCACGCTATACTGTTGACTGTAGGTAATGTACTGAAAAGATGAAAAAAGAATGAATTAAATGTTCTGTACAAACAACATGTAAAATAGAATAACTTTGTATTAAAGGAACCATAAAGAGGCACATGTATTTTACACTGATGTTAAATCCTCACTTATTTCTTTGAAAATGAAATCTTGAAATAAGCATATTAAAAGTGAATACCAACAGAAAAAGCAGAATTGATATAAAGAATTTAATGAAGACTAAAACACAGGAATACCAGTCTTTGGTCCGTAACGATGTACATCTCTACAAACCAGGTATTGTTATTACTGTCATATGGACCACAAATTTCTCGTCGGACCTAAAACGACAGATTTCAATTATCAAAATGCAAAAGACACAAACAAAAGTGGTACAAAAACACTCTATTATAAAATTATCACAAAATTAGACAATGGAGAAGACCATTGTTATATATTCAATATTATACACTTATCCACTGGCTGTGAGTGGGATAGCTCTTTTATCAAACCCGCAACAGAAACTATTCCCCGAGGGCTTGCTATAAAAGACATCTTTGGTATGTAAATACATGTAATTATGTTCCCCAAACGAAGTTTGGGAACATATTGTTTTTACTCTTATTAAGGTCTTCCGACTTCCTTCGGAAGACCTTATTGTTTTCCGTCTGTTTTCTATTATTATTATTATTATTATTATTCTTTTTTCATAGTACGGCCGATATCTCCGCTGTGAGTGGACGGATTTCAAAGATTTTTTCAGGGAAGATGCATCGTGAGAATATCTCCAGACGTGTTTTTCATTTTTTGAAAAATCTCTTCCGTTCGCGATTTTTGGGGAAATTTGTTTTTTTTAAATGGAATTTTGTCCGTTAATTTTCTCGAGAACAGCTAAAGATATGAAATTGAAACTCACTGACGTGATAGAACATTAAATGGAGATATGGTGATCGACCTTTATTTTTCGTCGTTCGTACTTCCGGTCGCGAACGGAAGTGAATTCAAAAATGTTAAATTTGCAACTTTTTTGTTTTTCAATATTTTTCTTTGAAATTTACAGGTTTAATAGAGAATCTTTTAAGAGTTCTATGTATGTTTTCATCATTTTGATTGATGCATTTATTGCAAAGATATGACCGATCCAAACTTTCTCGTATGTTGCGCGTTCGAATCCTGCTTGGGCGGGAGATTGTTTCTCTCTTTTTTCAGTTGAAAATAATATTTTTCTCTGTGAAGACATGTATCATGATAGTTTTTGCTTATTTTTTATAGCTTTGTTTACAGAGATTCTGCAGAAATCCTTTGATAATTATCATCTATGTTGAAAGACTGTGTTACATAAACGCAAACGAAAAATACCTTCAATAAAGTATTAAATGAAGTGAGATAGCAAAGCGTTTTGGAGAAAAGTTCGGTCGGAAGACCACTTGTTGCCCTAGCAACAAGAAACGCATCTAGTTATTATTATTATTCTTTTTTTCTACTTTCTTCTCCGGTACTTTTTTGTCCGGGAGTGTTCTCATAGAACCACTCATCCGATTGACATGAAACCTTTTTAGGGTTAATAGGCATGTTGTGTAGGTGTTCGGAATGAAGGTCATTTTGCGCGCACATGCATGCACGTGCGCGCGCGTGCAAGGAGTGAAATGACTGATATACTTGATGAAGCCGTAACTTTTATATTTCTTGATGAATTGCTTTGAAACTCAAAATATAAAGATATATTAGTAGTCTAGACAAGATAACATGGTCAAATTAGCGTGAACTCACGCGCATGCACGTGCGCTCTTCTCTGATTGGCTGATACAAAAATCTCAATAATTTCCTTGTTTTTTGACAAAATATTTTGAAAATTAGAATATAAGTATATATTATAAGGTTCTACAACAAGTTATATAGGAAATTTCTTGAAAACACGCGCATGCAGGTGTGCTGCAATCTGATTGGTTGAAACTTTAAATGTCTATAACTCCCTTGGTTTTCAACAAAACAGGATGAAATTTATGACATGGATAGGCACATAGAGCTCCTACATTATGATACTATCAAAATTGAATGCAAGCCCATGCATGCGCGTATGCTGAATTTTGATTGGCTAATACTTAAAGGGTACATCTCTCTTATTTTTCAATGAAATTCTTTAATATTTAAAACAAATGTATGTATTGTGGGACACTATAAGATAATTAATGTGAAAAATGTAGAAAACATGTGCAAGCACACGCGCTGAAATTTGATTGGCTAATACCCATATGGCTATATTGGAGTAGTTTTCCAATGAAATACCCTTAAAAATAAAGTGTCCATCTATATTACAAAAGTATTGTCTAATTTATTGAAGCTTGTAGGGAATGGGGCATCATAAGGGATTGGGGAGCCGTTTGGGGAACATCTGTAACGGTTCCCGTTACAATTAGCACTAGTTTAATGTTGCATTTGCATACAAACTGGAATGTTTTAATTTGTCACCTAAAATAGAGAAAAAAATTGATCTGAAAATCATTTCATTTTCATGGTAACTGTTCCAATTGCATATATACTAGCTATGATAAATTTTACACAGCTGAGAAAGAAATGCTACAAGGCAATTTCAACATTCAAATCACCTCATAAATCAAATATGAATGGAAAATATTTTTATTCTCTGTATATTAGTCAAATATAACATCATTTATAGAGGGAGAAATTTTTGCAGCTTATGAACCTTTCAAGAAAAACATCAGATTTTTGGACATTCACATGATTTTTGCAATATACCCTTTCTGAGGGCAACACTGAGCATGGGAATTTGGAATTTTTGCAAATTCCCTTACACTCCAAAATACAACAAAGTTGGAAAAAAAAGCCATTATGATAGATATGTGGTATTTGCATTATTTCTTCTATTCATTTGACTTGATAAAAAGTCTAACCTCTTCTCTGGAATGGAGTGGGTCGATCATTGGGTTCTATATACAGTTTGTGACATCTAAGTCCATACTCTGGAGAAGGGTTGATATGATAAAAGACTCTCCCATCTGATATAAAGCCCCTGTAGAAAATAGGAAAACATCAGTTTAGAATTGGGGTCTCAACATAAACAGCCTGAAAATAGCATTAGGAACACTTCCATGGCAAAAAGATTTTTTTAAGTAAAAATACATTTGTCTGGTATACATCTACGCGACGTAAACTTTTATCAACAAATATGAAATAGATTTTTACTTAGACTTTAAATAATAAATGAAACATTTCCCTTAGGTCACAAGAGAATGATTTTACAACATAATGAGCAAAGTGTTTGGAAACTAACTTCTTTTAGCTTTTCATATTATACATGTATCACACTTCAATAAATAAGAAACCTTTCATCTTTTTTCTATAAATAAATAATTCTAGTAATTATAATATCAATATCTCTTATAAATCAGAATACAACCATGATTAACTCCCTAAAGGAGTGATCTCCCTTTGCATTAAAAACTTAAAGAGATTATCTCCCTTGTAGTAGTCATTAGAACGCTAATTATGCTGACCAATCTCTTCACAATCTGAAGCTCAGCTACATGTTTATTTGTTTCCTCTTGATGGAGTGCAAAAAACGCTGATAGGAAACACATTTAACTATATTTCCTTTTCTTAGTTTGGGTTTTTCCCTCCAGGAGGTGTTTCTTTGTTTCAATAAAAGATCAAACAAAGCAGAGGCATTAAGAACATCCTACCCAGAAAATCATTGGAGATTAGAGAGGTCAGCTAATACCTCTTTAATTAGCTAGAATGGTCTCCATATACTTTCTCTAATCTATAGAATATCATTTACACTTCAGTTTCTCACATTTCGTGATATACATTATTTTATATTTTATAAAAAAGTCTCTCAAAACAAAGTACTTTTATCATACACAAACAAGAGGCTCTCCCTCACACTAAACAGGACCTTGAAAATAAAAAAAAGCAATCTCAAATACATATCTATCTCAAAAGTCTTACACCAAAAACACACTTAATAAGCCTATGACAACCTAGCCTTTACAGAAAGATCACATCAGTTAACTGTTTTATCCTATACTTAAATTTATTTTTTTAAAATTAATATTTGAGTTGGATTTAGGCATATTCTAGTATTATCTGTTATTTAAAAAATGAAAATAATGCATATTTTTGTAAAAACAACAGAAAAATTAATACTTCCAGAGTTGGTAGCTATGTGCAGGTTGATGCTGTGTTTTTTTTTTTTATTTTTAGACATTTCTTGCTTATACATGTATTATTCATTGCTGCATCTGACATGCAGAGGGAGTGCACAACTGAGGAGACTGCACATGGCAATATGCACTGTCTGAAGAACTAATTAAACAAATAACCTCTCCATGGATCAATGTTCACTACAATTGCCCAACTGTCTCTGTCTTGAATATTCAATGTTTTGGATGGGTGACACCTGCTTTCATTTTCAATAACCCTGAAAGATGCAAATATCACAAGACTTGTGTACCTCTAAACACAGATGAGTCAATATAGACAAGGCAAAAATAAGAGAACTTTCTGAGGAATAAATCAATTACAAGTCACGGGATCTAGTGATTTTAACTCTAATTATGTTATGCCAACACTATTTACAATGGCTTCTGAAACATTTACATTACTGGACAAATGTATTCACTGAAATTGGTATAAATTGAATAAATACATTTTGCATGACTGATGCTACAGTGTAGTAAACATGAGACCGTGTGACTGTTATATGTCAATGGTCTGAAGCTACAGTGTAGTAATTTAAACATGAGACCGTGTATGTTTGTGACTGTTATATGTCAATGGTCTCATGCTACAGTGTATAGTAAACATGAGACCATGTGTGTTTGTGAGTGTTATATGTCAATGGTCTCATGCTACAGTGTAGTAAACATGAGACCATGTGTGTTTGTGAGTGTTATATGTCAATGGTCTCATGCTACAGTGTAGTAAACATGAGACCATGTGTGTTCATGACCATTATATGTCAATGGTCTCATGCTACAGTGTAGTAAACATGAGACCATGTGTGTTTGTGAGTGTTATATGTCAATGGTCTCAGTCTACAGTGTAGTAAACATGAGACCATGTGTGTTTGTGACCGTAACAGGTCAATGGTCTCATGCTACAGTGTAGTAAACATGAGACCATGTGTGTTCATGACCATTATATGTCAATGGTCTCATGCTACAGTGTAGTAAACATGAGACCATGTGTGTTTGTGAGTGTTATATGTCAATGGTCTCATGCTACAGTGTAGTAAACATGAGACCATGTGTGTTTGTGACCGTAACAGGTCAATGGTCTCATGCTACAGTGTAGTAAACATGAGACCATGTGTGTTCATGACCATTATATGTCAATGGTCTCATGCTACAGTGTAGTAAACATGAGACCGTGTGTGTTTGTGAGTGTTATATGTCAATGGTCTCATGCTACAGTGTAGTAAACATGAGACCATGTGTGTTTGTGAGTGTTATATGTCAATGGTCTCATGCTACAGTTTAGTAAACATGAGACCATGTGTGTTTGTGAGTGTTATATGTCAATGGTCTCATGCTACAGTGTATAGTAAACATGAGACCATGTGTGTTTGTGAGTGTTATATATCAATGGTCTCATGCTACAGTTTAGTAAACATGAGACCATGTGTGTTTGTGAGTGTAATATGTCAATGGTCTCATGCTACAGTGTAGTAAACATGAGACCATGTGTGTTTGTGAGTGTTATATGTCAATGGTCTCATGCTACAGTTTAGTAAACATGAGACCATGTGTGTTTGTGATTATTATATGTCAATGGACTCATCCTACAGTGTAGTAAACGTGAGACAATGTGTGTTTGTGAGTGTTATATGTCAATGGTCTCATGCTACAGTGTAGTAAACATGAGACCATGTGTGTTTTTGATCGTTATATGTCAATGGTCTCATGCTACAGTGTAGTAAACATGAGACCATGTGTGTTTGTGAGTGTTAAAGTGAGGGTTGCTAGGCGATGCGAAGCACTGCATGCTCACTAGCACCATAGACAACGTGTACGAACGGAGGAAATTCACATTTTTCAAAGACATTTTTATCAGGCCTCGTGAAAAAATTCCAAACTGCCCATAATTCTTTGCACTGCATAGCAACATGGTAGCTTAAGCATAGCAACAACTTACTTGAAAAAAATTACATACAACAATTTAATGCAATTTCCATGCCATAATTGCCCACAAAACTATCGTTTGCATCCTCAGTAAACATGACTTTGAATGTGACGTCATATTTTCGTCACTTCAACAACTCGAGTATTTCCGACTTTGTCAGAAAAATCCAAGAAGTTAGGAATCTTGATTCCGATGCATGGAGAATCTGCATACATTAGAGAATACATTTTAATATTGGTTTTAATCTTTCATGTACGATACGCAGTAAACGCACGCCAAAGGTGCTTACTAATTAGTGTAATAAGCAAAATATAAAACGACATTTGAGAAGGTGTGTAGAGTTGTACAACAATGAACTGCGCTCGCTCTAACAGTTTCACCGTTGGACATATTATATCAATGGTCTCATGGTACAGTGCTGTAAACATGAGATCATGTGTGTTTGTAACTTTCATATGTCATTGCTCTCTTATTAAATAAAAAGTTGTAAACATGAGATCATGTGTGTTTGTACAGTATGTTCATAGGTGTCAAAGTGTGTTGTCATATTTTCCTCCTTTGTATACTGGACATTTTTTTATTTCAATATGGTTAGGGACCTATATGATACTTAACATTGGTATATAGCCATTATAGCGAGCGCAGTGAGCGGCGCAAAGCGCCGCTCGTCACTGCGAGCTCTAACGACAACGCCTGGGCGAAGAGAAAATTCGGACTACTGCACATTCATTCAATAGAATTTTTTTCCGCAGTAATTCTGACCCACAATGCATCGCTTCTTGTTCTCGCTGCTAACTTCGTTCACGCGGTGACACAACTAAAATTTCACAAAAAATAAAATCACCTTAATTTAATGGCTATTGCATGCAGATAGTAGATTAAATATTCTTTGTTAAAATATTTGCACTTTTTAAACTTTGTTTATGGAAATGCAGCTAACATACGACGTCATGTGAGGTCACAGTCTAGACGTTCCAAATGTCTCGTGTGGTTTGAAGAGGCGGATCTTAAAATGAAGTGAACAATGCGCTCGCCCCAACGGTCGCACCGTCAACATATTAGGTCCCTGATATGGTTATATTTTTTTTAGTCGATTTCTATCTTACCTGCCTTTTCTATTATAAAATATTCTTACAAAGCTTTAAAACCTTCAATGCTCAATGGCCCTGAAGGCAGAACTAGTGTCTAAATTTGAGATCTAAATTTAAAGCTTGATACATGTGAAAATTTTCATAATCTGTAACCGGATGTGAAAAGGGGAAAATAGAGGAGAGAACCCATTCCGGAGAGAAAAAGCCTCGTTTTGACTTAGATGAGACCATGGTCTCATGGGCTGTTTCTGTATATAAATATACCTCAGACTCTTTATTTCTTTATTACGACTTTATATCTTGTTATTACGATTTTTTTAAATTTTTAATTTTAGAAGGTTCGACCAGGGACCTGTATACTATATAGTATATAGGTCCCTGGTTCGACTTATTAAAAAAATAAATAATGAGTGATTGGAGGGGGGGGGGGGGCAAGAATGGCTCTGATTGGTTAAAAAGCTTAGGTTTCCACACAGAGTTGCGTCCCTGTTGTTTACATCCTACAGCATGGAGGCAGTGCTACGTTCTACATTCAGTCGAAATTTTTTGCCCCATGTACGGATTTTAGAGGGAAAGTATGTACAAGGTTTCTTCAGTCAGATCGGAAGAACAAAATTTACCTCTTCCCAGAGTCTAAATCAGGAATCTGTGGTCGCCAGAGACGACATTACTGTGAAACATGACAGCTCAGGGAACAACCGTTTCCCTGCTCTTGACTTGTCATTTAACAACGCTAGAGAGGCTTACAGAAGCAAATCAACAGCAGAGATTGCCCGGGCATTATTTGTGTTTAACATGTGTTCTGTACCCTTTCTTGTAAACCATAACAAAACTGTGAGTTGTTATTCAATCTGCAGTGTGTATATTAGTTGATTACGCAATTTAGGAAGTATTAATTTAAGACGGAATTGCATCTATACACTGATTTATCTAGTTGGTGATGTGATGTGTTATTTTAGAAGCAGAACCTGTCTAACCTGCAATGCTGTTGTTTTGATAACCCTCTAAACTTGAAAACAGTGTTTATGTAATATGTGACAAAAAAGTATTCGGGCATGCGTCCAATTTTAAAGGTCATATGTGTACATAAAATCAAAGTTATGAATTTCATCGGGATTTAATCTAGTTTAGTAAGATTGTTTTTAATCTTACCCAGCATTCCAATGAATTCATATTTACATAAACATTTATACAGTCATTCATGTATATTTTCATTGCATTGCTCTGCTGAATATCTTGGTTAAATTGGTCTAGCAATGCTTCAATAATTTTGCTGATTGATGGTTCTTCACCTATTAGTTTCTGTACCATACAACACTTAAATCTTTAATTTGTTTCTTAAAGGTGTTAAAATGGAGCAGACGACTGCTGGGAAAGAAACTATTTTGCAAGATTATGAAGGCCTCATTTTATGGTCAGTTCGTGGCTGGAGAGGATCAAGTTGCCATTCGTCCATTAGTCAACAACAACCGTAAATACGGAGTTAAATCCATACTGGACTACAGTGTAGAGGAGGATATTTCATCCAAAGAGGCAAAGGAAGCTGAGATGAAGTGAGCTTTTCAGCCTTGTGTCTGCTTTTGTCTGTTCTACTTCTTACGTGTAACTCACCTTGTTTAAATTTTGAATTTGCCAAAAGTTTGCCAACTATTAAGCTCAGGTCACAAATATGCAATCCTAATTGATCCATATGCCTTATTCTTGTGATTTTTTTTAGAATACAGATTCGTTGTGCTAGGTGTATGAGTTAAGATAAAAGAATAAGGAAATCAGTAAAAGCTGGTCCTCACTGGTTCATACATTTGGAAACTGTGTCTTTTATAAACATCAGATATCATATGCATACATGTGATATGTACCGGCGGTACGCAAAATGTACAGTTTTTCGAGCCCATTCATCGTGTACCGGCGGGACACCAAAATTCACAGAATATGAAAATTTGTACAGTATTTTGAATTTCTCACTAAATGCTGCCATTTTCCTCCCTCTCATTCTCGCTCGCGAGACACTGGAAAATGTCACCTGTGTTTGACACTTGACCTTCTGATAATTGTGTAGTGTACACAAGCTCATCGCGTGCGAAGGTGTGAACTGCCAATTGGGATAATTATCTTGCTATAAATCCGTATCAAATACCCCTTTAGGTAGCTTTATTTTTAAAGGGGTACTTAATTATAACTGTTACTGTTTCGTAACTTGATTGAAAAAAATTAAGCAAACTTCTAAAGTTGATATACATGACTTAATATACGTGAATCTGACCCAGATCTTCGTAGGTATAAAATATACGATGTTTATTGCAATGATAACGATGAAATTTCAGAAGAATTTAAGCGATATTTTATACCGTTTTTTGTACCGTTTTTTGAAAGGCAGTGTACAGTTTTTTCACCCAAATTCCAGTTTTTTTATGGCTCCTGTACAGTTTTGTGGTCTTTGACTTATCACATGTATGCATATGACTTCTGTGTAATTCAAAATGTTGATCCTTGAGACTTACAGGTTCATTTTATGCCCCCTTAATTGAAGATTCAGGGGCATATTGTTTTTGGTGTGTCCATATATTTGTTTTTTGTTTTCTGAATTATGGCCCAGTGTTTTCAATAAGAGCCGGCTACCGGCAAAATTAACCGCCTGTACGAGAAATTTTGCAGGCTTTGAGATTTTCGTAATTGGGATTTTGCCAGGGTTGGTATGCGAAATCCATAGATTTTATCACGACTATCTACATGATATAGAGTAACTTCCTTGAGTGCGCTCTTTTTCATGGAAGTTTGATTAGATCCAACACGTACTACAACTCCTGAACAAGACTTGCAAGAGTAAAGTTTAAAGAATAAATTTTTTATGAATAATTCCAACCTCATATAAAATTTACAACTCAACGTTCACGATTTAACTTTAGCTATACACGATATGATCTAGATTATTGAGAAATTGCGGCTTCATTGACGCAAGCGTCAGGTATCTACGGCCTAAAATGTCGGAACTGGAAAATAAATGTTTTTTAGCTCACCTGAGCTGAAAGCTCAAGTGAGCTTTTCTGATCACATTTTGTCCGGCGTCCGTATGTCTGTCTGTCCGTCTGTCTGTCTGTCTGAAAACTTTTCACATTTTCCACTTCTTCTCAAGAACCACTGGGCCAATTCAACCAAACTTGCCACAAAGTATCCTTGGGTAAAGGGGATTCAAGTTTGTTCAAATGAAGGCCAACGCCCTCTTTCAAGGGGAGATAATTAATAGGATTTAGTTAAAAATAATGGCATCATTAAAAAATCTTCTTCTCAAGAACCATAAGGCCAGGAAAGATGAAACTCATGTGGAAGCATCCTCAGGAAGTGTAGATTCAAGTTTGTTCAAATTATGACCCCCGGGGGTAGGGCGGGGCCACAATGGAGGATCAAAGTTTTACATAGAAAAATAAAGAAGAAATCTTTAAAAATCTTCTTCTCAAGAACAGCAGAGCCATGATGAGTCATATTTGTATGGAAGCATCCTGAGGTAGTGTAGATTCAAATTTGTTCAAATCATGACCCCCGGGGGTAGGGCGGGGCTGCTATGGAGGATCGAAGTTTTACATAGAAATATAGAGGAAAAATCTTTAAAAATCTTCTTCTCAAGAACAGCAAAGCCATGGTGAGTCATATTTATATGGAAGCATCCTCAGGTAGTGTAGATTCAAGTTTGTTCAAACCATGACCCCCGGGGGTAGGGCGGGGCTGCAATGGAGGATCAAAGTTTTACATAGAAATATATAGGAAAAATCTTTAAAAATCTTCTTCTCAAGAACAGCAAAGCCAAGATGAGTCATATTTATGTGGAAGCATCCTCAGGTAGTGTAGATTCAAGTTTGTTCAAACCATGACCCCCGGGGGTAGGGCGGGGCCACAATGGAGGATCAAAGTTTTACATAGAAATATATAGGAAAAATCCTTAAAAATCTTCTTCTCAAGAACAGCAAAGCCATGAGGAGTCATATTTATATGGAAGCATCCTCAGGTAGTGTAGATTCAAGTTTGTTCAAATCATGACCCCCGGGGGTAGGGCGGAGCTGCTATGGAGGAATGAAGTTTTACATAGAAATATAGAGGAAAAATCTTTAAAAATCTTTTTCTGAAGAACAGCAAAGCCATGATGAGTCATATTTATATGGAAGCATCCTCAGGTAGTGTAGATTCAAGTTTGTTCAAATCATGACCCCCGGGGGTAGGGCGGGGCTGCTATGGAGGATCGAAGTTTTACATAGAAATATAGAGGAAAAATCTTTAAAAATCTTCTTCTCAAGAACAGCAAAGCCATGATGAGTCATATTTATATGGAAGCATCCTCAGGTAGTGTAGATTCAAGTTTTTTCAAATCATGACCCCCAGGGGTAGGGCGGGGCCACAATGGAGGATCAAAGTTTGACATAGAAATATAAAGGAAAATATCTTCTTCTGAAGAACTGCAAACCATGATTAGTCATTTTGATATGGAAGCATCCTCAGGTAGATTCAATTTTGTTCAAATGATGACCCCCAGGGGTAGGGTGGGGCCCAATGGGGGATGGAAAGTTTTACATAAAAACATATAGAAAAAATATTTCTTCTCAAGAACACAAAAGCTACAAAAGCTATGTTTAGTCATATTGATATGGAGGCATCCTCAGGTAGTGTAGATTCAAGTTTGTTCAAATGATGACGCCTGGGATAGGGAGGAGCCACAATGGGGGATCAAATTTTTACAAAGGAATATATGGGAAATTTTTTTTAAAATCTTCTCAAGTACAACAAAGTCATTTGTTATATTGACATGAAAGCATCATCAGGTAGTTTAAAATTCAAGCCCCTCCCCCCCCCCCCCCCTAATCTTTTCAATACTGAACTGATTTGTGCTTTTGCCTAACTGAACTGATTTGTGCTTTTGCCTAGCCAATGTGCTCAGGTGAGCGATGTGGCCCATGGGCCGCTTGTTTAACATTCACTGTCACTCCACAAGCTAGGTCAAGTTTATCACAACAGAAACTATTTATATCTAGACCGATATAATTTTAAGACCCTACAAATAAAAGTCTTACAGAATTTCCTCAAATTGAAAATGTAAATTTGTATTCTCATTTATTTGTGTTAGCTCTCATGAAATACAGGAACAGTATAACATTTCACATTTAAGAAGGTTTTTATGTACTAGTAGTTTGTATTTGTATCCATTTTCTTAATTATTTTGTTCTGACAATCTGTACAAAATAGTAAATAAATTGAAAGGTTTATGATATTTTAGTCTGAGATTGCAGAATATTTCAATTTTTGGGGGTATTGTACGTCACTACGTGTTAAAAAGTTCTTAAATTTTTAAATAAATTATTTCCTTAATTTTGAATAATTTTCCTGACCAGTTGATGTGAAAGGGGCTAATTATGTAGCATTTTCAGTATGAAATTCTAGCACAAACAATTGTCTGTGCTAGAATTTCATACTTAAGTTGTCTTAATGTTTTTACAGACACCTAGTTTTCAGGGTGAAAAAATCAGTCCGTCAAAAGTCCATATAACAAATCAGTGAAAGGGTACAAATTGTTTTCTAAATGGCTTTATTAGGTAAAATTTGGTAATTGATAGTGACAGAAATGTGAAAAATTTATCGGCCTTAGAGGAAAGAAAAATGAGTCAAAAATGCCAATTTTCATTTTCGGCCGGGGGGCATGCCCCCCTGGACCCCCTACCAGGGCTCTGCCCTTGACCCACTGGGGGCCTGAGGTGGCCCTCAGACCCCTCGCTGAGATTGGTTTCCTGCTGTTCCAAATATATTTCCTTCTATTGAAGATCTTATTGAAAACACTGATGGCAAAAAATTTAATCTTGGCCATAACTTTTGAACAGTTGTTGCCAGGGCTCTCATATTTTATATGTATATTCATTTTGACACAACCTTTCTTTGGATACCAACATTTTTGACCTCATGATCTTGACCTTGGAGTTTGAAAAACTACTTTTGTAAAACTTTAACCTTAGTCATAACTAAACTAGGCTTTCATATTTCACATATTTCTTGTGACAAGATCTTTCTATGGGTACCAACATTTTTGACCTCATGACCTTGACATTGGAGTTTGACCAAATTTGTAAAACATCAACCTTGGCATAACTTTTGAATAGTTGGTGCTAGGCATTTTTATATTTCACAGGTGTATTACTTGTGACAAGACCTTTCCTTAGCTTCTTTAGCTTGACTATGGACTTTGACCTACTTTTAAAAAAAATTAACCTTGGCCAAGAGCTGCCATGTGGGGACATTTGGTGTTTCACAAACAAATCTATTTTTTCCTTGTTAAATGACTTGAATTCTGAGTACAGTTAGTATTTTATTGACTTGAATTCTGAGTACAATTGTCATTATTTATATGTTTATAAATAAATTGTGAGTACAATTGTTAATATTTACATTTGCTGTGTCTTTCTACTAAGCCAACTGTGAAATTGATTTGAAAGTCATTTTTGTGTATACTCATGTGTAGAAATATACACGGTGAAACTCGAGCAAAAGTGACGTCACAATGAGGCCACAGAGACGTTAATAAAAATGTAATGATATAGGGCAGCAAGAAATTCAAATATTGAGTATATTATTTGTGCTTTTAAACTTGTAAAATGTAAATATAAGGAATGTTTTTAAGTTTAGTGTGAATTATTGGTGTGTAAATCACACAGACATAGATATATGCCTACGTGACAAGTCTGTGTGATTTACACACCAATAACTCACACAAAACTAAAAAATATTCCTTAAATATTTTTGTATAGGAGCAGTTTTTTCTGTATATGTTTTTAAATTCTGATTACAATTGTGAATATTTTTCTTAGGAGCTGTACTCCCCCTGATACAGATCCTCTTGATGCACAGAAATTAAATACAGACACGTGTAAGTAAAGGGAAAGGATTTAAATCAATATCTAAATCTGTAATAGATGCTACTATATAGTTCAATGGTGAAAACTGTCTTGCATCCTTTAAAATGGTGTATTCAGGCCAATGCACTATGTTTTATGTACAGTACGTGCTAGTATACATGTATTGAGAAAAAAAAAATTTCCTCAGAATTTTTATTTAAAGGAATTATTAAAAACTCTGTTTTTACACTTTGACTACTGGTAAGAGAATTACATAAGATTGCCAGAGAAGTCAGGCATACATAAACCTAACTCCAGATTTTTTAAAGTAAATATTTTTGTAAACCTCTAGGACAAAATCTTTTATTTGCTGTTTTACACATGTATATAATGATAATTATAACATCCTGTTTAAATTCTTATGAAGAGTTTATTGCATTAAATATATTTTTATGACCACTTAGTGAAAATCCTAATCAAAGATGGACAAGGAACACAGAGTGGTAAGATGGTACACATGTTAAGGGGATTTTGATTGTTGTTAATAAATCATATTTCACATAAAGGTCTCTTCTAAAAATAGATTTGTACATTCATATTTATTCAAACTACACATATAATATCTTTCATATATGGAAATAATTTACACCATTTTTATGCGCCCCCCCCCCCCCCCCCCCCCCCCACTTGAAAAAGAGGGCATATTGCTTTGCAGCTGTGTGTCAGTACACCAAATTTGTCTTCTCAGTATCTTGAGAACCCTTTGCTTGACAGACATCAAACATGGTACATTGGTAACTTCAGAAGAATAGATGGTCCTTAATTGATTTTTAGGTGATAGGTCAATGGTCAAAGGTCAAATTATTACTGAAGGATCATGTCAGTTTGATATCAGAACAATTTGCTTGACAGATATCAAACTTGGCACATTGGTTGCCCTTAAGGAGTAAATGACCCTTAATGATTTTATGGTCGAGGGTCAAGCTGGATATAGGAATAAATTTAGAACTCAATATCTTCAGAAACCTTTGCTTGACAGACTGCAAACTTAATACACTGGTGCCCCCTGAAGAGTAGATGTCCCCTATTGATTTTGAGGTCACAGATCAAGATCAAACTACTCTTTGACATGTGAAGGTTTTGTCTATTCAATGTCTTGAGAACCCTTTAATTGACAGACATAAAAATTTGTACATTGTTCCCTATTGATTATGAGGTCATAACATCAAGGTCGGATCAAACTTGACATACAAATATATTGACCACCCAATAACATGAGATCCTTTGCTTGTCAGACATCAAGCATGGTACACTGGTTTTCCTTAAAGAGTAGATAACACCTATTACTTATGAGGTCACAAAGTCAAAGTCAAGGGTCAAACAACATAGATACTTAGACATAGGAAGATACTGTCAGTTCAGTATCTTGAGAACCAACTGCTTTATAGGCATTAACTTTGGTACATTGGTACCCTCTAAGAAGTAAATTATCCCTAATGATATTAAGGTCTGATTGGAGATCAAACTTAGTATTAGGTTTTCTCCTGACTAGTAGATGACAAATTGTTTTCACTATCTTAACAGAACCTTCTACATTTAAAGCTGTTCCCTTTCTAATATTACCTCTCTTGGGTAATATATGTCTCTCAAACATTTCTTATTTATGATTGGAGTTTTAAGCAATTCCTGGGTTTTTGTGGCTACATGTGCTTTTTCTTTCTTTAATAAAAACACAATTTCATTGTAAGAGGTATCATAATTAATATTTGAACATTATGTCAAAGAAAAAATAGATTTCCGCATGCTTGAAGTTTTATCTTCCAGCGTTTAAGCAAGGGAAAAGAGTGAGTCGTAAGTGAAATAATGTGGTTGCTGTTCTCTAATAATCCCTTTTTCTTTATATTGTTTTTACCACTTTTAAGAAATCAGAACCAGTGTTTAATGAGTTAACTCACTGAAAAAATATCATACATCATCACAGATTTATAGTTTATAATTTGGCAAATAAACATGTAACAGTTTCATTCCTTTATTAATGATAATCATGGATCCTCAAATGAAAGCGTGCTTTAATTAATATTAAGTTTTATATTTAAATTCACAGAAATAGTCAAAATCATTTTGACACAAGTAGTCACACCAAAAGTTCTTTTTAAACATAAAATCACCCATTAGAAATGTCAGCATATAGTAGTTTGCAAACTCAGGGTTGTAAAAAAAGGAAATACTTACATTCCATAATATTAAAAATTACTGTGAATTACTGGTAATTACCAGGAATTACTGGTAATTACCAAGAATTACTAGTAATTCCCATGAAATACTGAGAAATAAAGTATAGCTACAGCACATTTAATAATTATATATATCTACTGGGTATAGACACAAAGTATATACATTATTAACCCTCCTAGATATCTAATCACAGTCTCTGTATTATAAAATTCTGACTACCCAGTAATGCATCTCCTTACAAATAATCACAATTTACTTCTAGATCTGTCACCAGTGGCATTTGTTCTATACCTGAGTCTAGTGTAGTCTTCAGTTTCATAAAATGAACTCAAAGATCCCATTTCAGGGTTTGACATTTACTTTTATGAGTACTAGACCAGTTGGGCTACTTCTAATAATTTTTACTAGCCCTGACCAAAAAGTCACTAGCCCTGACCAAACCTAAAAACTGACTTTTTATAAACTTCTAATTATAATGAAAAAAGTTTCGAAACCATATTTCAATAAAGATTCCGTCTCTCGCACCTGTTAAGATATATTTTGACAGACTCTTCCATAGGTTGCTAGCCATTAAGTCGGGTTAAGCGTGACATACAAATATTATAAGCCTTTATTAAGGAACAATCAATGAACTTAGTATAAAAATAATAACCGTAAATAAAAATACATTATGAATTAAAGAATATATTATTCAAACTTCATACTAATTTTAAATACTGAATGAAGCTAGTTCACAACTTCTTTTACAGAGCGATGGATGATGTTTACTATCAGACAAATAAGAATTAAAAATAAATAATAAAAAAAAACTTTTTAGAATATTTATTTAAAAGACCGAAGTAAGGGTTATCATTTATTTCATACATGCGACCCGTCGGTCTAGTTCACGAACATTTTACACGACTGGACCACTCATTTACTAGACTGGGTCGGTCGGATGTGCCTTAGTGTCAAACCCTGCGTTTGGAGAACATTCTTTTTAACATAAAATTAGAAAGCTTTTAATTAGTGAGGTAGATATGAACTTAAGAAAGTATCTTCGTTTAAATGTTGATTTTTCTCCAAAAAAATCTCTCTCAATATAAGGGAACAATACTGTCAAGAGTCTCTGTTAAAACAACGTTTCTTTTGGAAATCCCTCCAATGGAGAAGGAGCGCCTCTTAAGAAATAAGGTATCATTTTTAAACATCTATTGGGATAGAAATATGGGTTGGTCACGAGATCAAATTCCATAAAGCCTGATGGCTTTATGATAAATTTGATCTCGTACCAACCCGTATTTATATCCCGATAGATGTTTTAAAATGATACCTTATTACTTATATTTACATTTGTATATTCATATTATATATTAGCCTGATTATAACCTTTAACATGTGAAATGTTATATTTTTTTTCAAACTCATCGGCACAAGTTTGATCTATTGATTGCGCGTTGACCCTTTATGACGTCACTGAGAATGATTATGACGCGAGGAACCCGTGTTTATACAGATATAGATACACATTGCTTTTAATAGTGTTATATAAAAGAAAACATTTGCAAATGTAAATATATTAAATTGGATTAGATATATTTGATTGTAATACATTTGTACAGTGTTTAAATAAGTACTAAAGCAAGTTTATTTTCTTCTTAATTAGTTATCTGTTAAATGTTTCAAAGTTGAAAAGGAACTCTGTTTAGAAAATCGATTTTGTTTATCAGACATTTATAGAGAAACATATTCTGCTACAGAATGACCAGTAACAGTAGGAAACCTGATAAATAGGTGATACATAGTACTGACATCCCAAACATGTTGAATTTCAGTTTGAGACATATTCATCTTGTGTTTTTAAGTTTTCTTTGATGTGTTTTATATATATTCCCAATACATGCTGCTTATGGAGACCCAATTTTTAATGAATCTTCAGTCTGTAGTCCTAGTTGTTTTCAGGTTTAATATTTTGAAGTGCACAGCATTATTGGCTAAATTATCTTTGCCACTACATAGGGACATCTAAAGTAGCTAGCAAACCTTACTGAATATTCCACATTGTTGAAATCATTGTTAAAGTAAATATACTGTGATTGTATAACTATGGAAGCAAGAAGGCATATACAATGTATTTTTAAAATATTATAGTCAGGATAGAATTAAAATATGATAAATGGATGTTATAATGTGCCAGTATAACCTAAAAATAAATGAGTCATTTGAGAAATTTTAATGCAGTATGATAATTGTAAGAAAATCAAAAGAAGAGGCCAACAAGTATCTTGAACTGAGATAAGCTGTAACTTACATGTACATATATATTCAGCATGAGTTATATAAGTCATTGTTCCATACCACAGCTCCTGATGTCCAGCGGTTTGTGGCCCATGAGGAGTTTGGAGACAGACGAGAGGGGGTGGTTAGTGCTAGAACATATTTCTATGAAGATGAGGCCAAATGTGATGAGAACTTGAAGACATTCAAAGAATGTATTGATGCTGTGGCAGGTATGTGCTTATACCAAAATCACTATGTATAGAAAAGTAATTCATTTTCAATTTAAGGACCCTCTATACACTAGAGGTAAAGAAATTTGGACATTGAGAAAATTATAGTGTGTAAAGGTTTAAATATTGAGCTTATCTATTACATTTTCAACACAGCATACCTTGCTTTTACCCCCCAGGAAAAATGTCCAAAGACAATGAAGTACTGATGAACAGAAATAACTGTTGTTTGCCTAAGTGGAAAAAATATCTGCAAATGAAGTGTTCAATTTATTCATCTTAGCCTTATAAAATGTTATGAATACTTGATCACAAATTAAGTAATAAACCGTACACTTCAACTAATTTTATTCTTGATCAAAGGGCAGATTACTCTATCTGCATAAAAATAACACAAAATCAGATCTCTTCAGTGTTCAGTGTATAGAGAGCTCTTAAGTACAGCACATGTTAGCCCCCCCCCCCCCCCATTCCCCCAAAATAAGAAAGAATGAAAGAAAAAAGAAACCTTGTATTTTTTTGGTATTTTTTCTGATTTCTGTTTTCTGTTTTGTAGGTGCTGTAACAGATGGGACAGGATTCATTGCTATTAAAATGACAGCTTTAGGCAGACCACAGTTTCTAGTTAGTTGTATATAAATATAAACATACAATGAATATACATGTACTATTAAAGTTTTAATGAAAGTCAAGGTAAATTGTATTATTCCATTAAAAATCAAAGTTCTGGAAAACCTTTACTTGCCTGAATGTTTGATAAAACTTTTGCTTAGATTTACATAGGAATCAAAATAATATATGAGTATTTATATTTATGATTGAGACATACATAGCTCTACATTATGCCATCATCTAATATCTCATTAACTATAAATTATGGGATTCTTATACTTGGCTTGTATTGCAGTTACAACTTTCTGAGGTGATAACATCATGGAGAAACTTCTTTGAGAAATTTGCTCGAGACAAAACCAAATTTTCTGAAGACGACTTCAAAATGACACTGGAGGACATTGGTGTACAGGTGACACGAGATGATGGGAAAAGATGGTTTGCACTTCTGGATATCACCGGTGATGGGTAGGTCAAGGAGACATGGTTCCAACTGTAACTGCAAGTAGTATGTGAATTACTGTTTCGAAGTTTTCAGTGTTAGTCAGGAATTTTTATAAGTGGTTAAGCAATTGATTTCTTTTTTAATTTCACTGTCTACTTCAGTCTGTGGTATTTTATAAGAATTTAATAAAAGTGATGAATAGATGATGCACAGAACATTTATATACTCTTATGATTATATTTCATTTTCACAATTCTGTAGACATGATACACAAATCAGAAGAATGTGTTATCTTTAGATATTCAAACAAATTTACTTCCAATAATGTAATTGCAGCACTTAACATTAATGTTACTTAACACTTAACTTAGCACTTAACAACAATGATGAAGTCATTGTACGTGTTTCATAAAGTGTATTTCATTTTCAGAGATTTTTAAAAACTGTCAATAATTACTTTTTTAGAACATGATTTCGACTTTCATTTTTTTTTTTTTTTGTCACCTGCTTAGCATGGCAGACATATAGGGGTCACTTTGTCTTGTGTCTGTCTATTCATCTGTCTGTCTGTGAGGAGACGCTTTCACAGAAAAGCTCAGAACTTTCTTATTTCAAGTCAGATCAATGTGAAACATCATAAAAAAATCTATTTCAGTAAATTGAAAACATTACATGAATTTTTAATGATTAGTTTAGATTCAAAATATATATACTCTTGTGTTTTTGGACAACACACACATACAAAAAATGTGCTGTAATTAAATGTATCAGAATGAATCTGCATCCACTGATCCCAATATATCCAACACTTGTGTGACTAGACAAATCATAAGAAAAACAGAGTAACTAGATTGGGGTTAATTTAATCTACAGATTTACATATTTTCTTGGTGTGAAGGTATATAATAAAACAATTACATGGTTTCTATGATTGTTATTTAAATACAGACATTAGCAGACAAGATATTGCAGAAAAAATATGTTTGCCATGTAAGTGCATGGTTATGTGAATTTTTCTGTAATGGTTGCAACCATTACTCAATGTATTAAGAAATGAAGGAAGACATTTTACTGTTTATATTTATATCTGTATACATTTCTTTAAGTGGGTGAAAGTACGTAAAATATTGTATTATCCTTATTACATTTTTGTACCTTGACCAGTTGAATGTCATTTACATAATTTCTGATCTTACATGGATTAGTCACAGATGACACATCTTCCATGAAAACTGTAGTTTATTTGTAGGCATTGCATTATATAAACAATAATAATGAAAGTTTATCTTGACAAACTCATTAAGGATAAGTTTAAACAAACAATATAATGTGTATTGTACAAACAAAGTACTGTATTGTGCATGGCATTACTGATGGTAGATAAAATATTGTCTGTATGTATGTCTGTTTGACCTTGTACAGATGTTGATCTCTTTACAGAGAAGTGGACCTGCTAGACTGGGATAATTTACTGGATATAAATACACAGATGGGAAAGTACATGGTTGTCCCAAATGTCAAGGTTTGTTTATTAAAAGAATCCTTCATTGACAATTGCTGTTATTTTGTAAATAATTGTCATTCAGATGCCGTTGAATCATTTAAAGTGAGATGTAAAATTTTAAAAATGTTTTTGTATTACATGTATATAATAATTCATCAGAAATAAGTAGAGTTTTAAACACGAGACACAGTATGTGTAATGCTGTATTTAGCTTATCAAGCAGAAAATCAAGTATTGAAAATAAAATAATATTTCGAGTAATCGGTGATTATTTTAGACTGGTGAGATAGAACCTTTGGTTGCTTCACTCCAGAAAGAGGAAGAGGAACAGTTGAATCAGATGTTGTTACGACTGAATGAAATAGCAGAGGTAATGGAAAATACGATACAGTCTAAGTAGAACTGAGTATTTGATATGAAAAAAAGGAATCAATTATTGACTCTGTTTAATTGCAGCATAGGGCAATAAAAATATTCAAAAGTAATACATGAACTTGTGATGGTAATGTTTGAGGGATTATAGTGTTAGGCACTTATACATGTTTACTGTGGAGGACTAATATTTGTGGATTTCGTGGGTCACCCTTTTCCACAAATTTACATCAGCACAAATGTTTATTTTGTAAAATATTGATTCATAGAAAGTACGATATAATGGAGTAACCCACAAAATTATGTCTTCACAAACAAGTAAAATTTTGCTTGCCCATGAACATTGACCCCCACAAATTAAAATGATTCCAGTGTAATATAATACTGGCGTATATCTGTGTATGATCAATGGTATATTATCTGTTTCAGTGAGTGTCTTTACATCTATCATAATCTGTGTAATTTTATATGGTGCAATGCCTCAGATTCTTAATAATTTAATGACTTCTAATCCTTAAGTAGAAGATGGATAAAGGAAGACAGTGTAGCTTCTTTCTTTTCAGAAATTACGCTTTGTCATCTTTAGATACTCTCCTAAACAGAAGACTGAGATACATATATTAGGCTAAATAACTGAGTAGTTCTTGGCTTTGTACTTCTGCAAAGCTTTTCACAGAAATTTTTTGACACCTGCCTTAACCATAAGTTTTAGTCCCCTGCTTTAGCTAATGATAGGAATACTAATTTTGGGTCTGTTTATCTCTCTCCATCTTCCCTCATTTGTTTTCAGACTCATTTCAATACTGTCCATAATGAGTACACGACCTTTATTTTCTTGGAGGTCAAATTTCAAGGTCACAATCTTGTTAGGGCATCACACACTTATTCTGTCTGGGAGACTTAAATTCCCTGAATGAGTTTGCTTGAATTGCTAAGACAATGGATTTTGAATTAGCATTTTTACAGGTGTTTGAAAAGAATATTTGGATTATTGGCCTTTGATCTATTTTAAAAAGATCAACCTATGACTGAATTTGTGGTTGTATTAGGTTTTTGTGGTTGTATTAGGATTTTTGGGGGGAGGGGGACGAGTGCTTTCTTTCTATACCATTAAAAAAACAATACATAGATATTTGATATACATGTATAGTGTATTGATTAATTGATATAAGATCCTCACCATGGTATTTCACCTGCCTTTTACTTTCAGGTTAGAGTTATTAATAAATTTGACCTTTTTCAATTGTACATGAAAGAAAGAAAAAACATTTTCTAAAGAAAGGAATTCTGACTGTTGCTTTTGCAAATGATGTGTTCCCTAGGAAATTTTAGTCTTGTTAAAGTAAGAAGAAATTAAGGCATAAGCAAAACAGAAAGTAATAAGAATTCTGTAATTTATTTTGTGCCAGTATGCTATAAAGAAGAATGTGCGGGTGATGGTGGATGCTGAGCAGACCTACTTTCAGCCCGCTATCAGTAGGTTAACAATTGAAATGATGAGGAAATTCAACAAGGAGAAGGCTGTTATATTCAACACGTATCAGTGTTATCTAAAGGTACCAATTTATTATTAGGAAAGGACCTCTCTTATTTTATTGGATTGTAGATTTAGAAATATAATTTAAAATACCGGGGTATTTGATATTTTGTGACTATTGATAAGTATTTGATATTTCAGTCTGCATTTACCTCTGTGAAGCTGGACTTGGATTTATCAAATCGTGAAGATTTCTTTTTTGGAGCAAAAATTGTACGAGGGGCTTATATGGAACAGGTAGGTGAAGAACTTGTAATGATTTTACTTTGATACACATGTATTTCAAAACTTTTATATCATTGGTCACCAGTTAGATGAAATGATGTAGAGTGTAAAATTATATTTCCTTCAGTTAGTGATTAATAGTTATGATATTGAATTTTTTTCTTCAATAATTACATTGGATTTTTCTGTTGGTTAAATAGGTATTTTTATGCAGATTATTTTCTTTTATACTAAAATTTTTGATAGTTTAAATTTAAAGTACATATATGGCTACTGACAATGAGCATTGTTTGTTTCACTTGTTTCAATGTTTTTAAATTCAATTTTAAATGCAATACTAGGGAATCATCATGGGTTAAAATTTTGTGGATTTCCTGGATATCTCTTATCCACATATTTACAACCTCAATAAATATTGAAATATACACAAAGGTGACAAGATGTTTGCCTGTAAGAAATTACAAACCTGTCAATAAAGTATAAATGAAACCCATAAAAATTGGCTCAAGTAAAATAATTCCACAGTGACTGAAACCATAGATATAATTAGCTCACCTCAACAAAGTCAAGATGAGCTTATGCTATACCCCTGGCATCGGGGTTGGTGTTAGCATAGGCGTCCCAGTTAAAGTTTTAGGAGCAAGTCCATTCCCAAGTAACTATAAGCCCTTCCTGGACCAAACTTGCATGGATGATGCATCTAGAGATGGACACTACCACACTTGATTCGGATGCTGGATCTGACATAGATTTTCCAGATGAGTGACCAGGTTGGAGTGTTTGGAGCAGGTACTTAACTATAAGCCTACCTGGACCAAACTTGCATGGAGGATACATCTAGGGATGTAGACCAACCAACCTTGCTTTGCATGCTGGATCTGACCTAGATATTCCAGATGAATGACCAGATTAAAGTTTTTGGAGCAGATCTATCCCAAAGTAACTATAAGCACTTCCTGGACCAAACTTGCATGGATGATATATATATATAGGGATGGACACTACCACACTTGCTTCCAATGCTTCATTGATTACCTATGTTTTTCCTATGTCTTAAATACTTATTTTCTTCAGTGTCATGCAAAACATGGTAACATTAAATGACTTGTAAGCTTATGTTTGTGTATTTTTCATCAGGAGAGAGAACGGGCAGCAACCATTGGCTACCAGGACCCTATCCAGCCAACATATAATGCTACCTCACACAGCTACCATAGAGTAGTGGAAGAAATCATGAACCAGATCAACCAGAGACCACGAGGGAAGATAGCTGTCATGGTGGCTAGTCATAATGAAGAGACTGTCAAAGTGACAGTAGAGAAGTAAGCACTATAACTGTAATCATAATCGTGAAGAGAGTGTCAGAGTGACAGTAGAGAAGTAAGCACTATAACTGTAATCATAATCATGAAGAGAGTATCGAGGTGACAGTAGAGAAGTAAGCACTATAATTGTAGTCATAATGAGGTGGCTAGTCAGTCCTAATGAGGTGACTAGTCAGTCCTAATGAGGTGGCTAGTCCTAATGAGGTGACTAGTCAGTCATAATAAAGTGGCTAGTCATAATGAGGTGACTAGTCATAATGAGGTGACTAGTCAGTCATAATGAGGTGGCTAGTAATAAAGTAAAGACTGTCAAAGTGACAGTAGAAAAGTAAGCACTATAACTGTAGTCATAATGAGGTGATTTGTCATATTGAGGAAACTTTCAAAGTGACAGTAAAGAACTAAGCAATTTATCTGTAGTCATAATGAGGTGGCTAGTCATAATGAAGAAACCACCAAAGTGACAATAGAGAAGTAAATAATATAACTGTAGTCATGATGAGGTGGCTAGTCAGTCATAATGAGGAAACTGCCAAAGTGACAGTAGAGAAGTAAGCACCATATCTGTAGTCATAATGAGGTAACCTTAAAAGTGGCAATAGAGAATTAAGCATCATAACTTTAGTCATAATGAGGTGAACATTACAGTGACAGTAAGGATATAGCAATTTTAAGATCAAGAAAGAGAAGTTTCAGTTATTATATATCTATCTTGAAGATGAAAGTTTAATGCAGTCAGTGAAAAGTTAAAATTTTATAATCCAAATTTTTATGGGATTTTTAAAGTCTTTTTATTGAACAGAATGAAGGAGAATAGTATTGGACCACATGATAGATTGATCTGTTTTGGTCAACTGTTGGGCATGTGTGATCACATCAGCTTCCCACTAGGTACTCAAATTTTCCCTGCCTTTGTATGATAAATCACTGTAGTGTAATGATCAACAACACTCTGTTTTCATATCAGAAGTCAAATTCCATGATTTAGTATGCTTGAAAAATTATTTTAGGATAATTTTTTCTTAGTTATTGTATTCATCAATTTTTTTTTTTTATTACAGGCCAGGCTGAATACTCGGTATACAAGTATGTCCCTTATGGGCCAGTAGAGGAAGTTTTGCCTTACCTGTCTAGGAGGGCCATGGAGAACAGAGGGGTTCTAAAGAAGGTCAAGAAGGAGAAGAGGTTACTCTGGCAGGAATTAAGACGAAGGATTAAAGATGGTGAAATACGATACAATCCAACCAAGGCAACAGCTTAAAATTATAGTGACGAGGAATCCTGAAATAAACACAACATTAATTCTGGATTTTGGGCTGTAATGAATTGGTACTTTAACCAGTGATTTCTTTATTAATGCTTCATACTCCATAGTTTGTATGGAGTTTTAACTTGAAAAGCATTGATTCATTCTCAATGAAGATTCATGAAGACAACCTGTACCATAAACCGTGTATAGTATGGAACTCTGTGCTCAGAAGAAGAATGTTTCTATGCATAATGAAGTATATTTATATATCCATGTTCCATCATTCCATGCATAGTAATAATTTGGTATTTGTACCATTAGGAGGTACATTTGAATATGCATGTAACAGATTTATTTTTGTGGTGCATTTGGTCTCTTCATTTTTGTCTCTTTAACCTGAGATTATGCTCAGTGAATTTATTTTTTAAGCCATGAGATATTTATTTTATGTTTGATAGTTAAATATTTTTATATCTTTAGAAAGTTGTCATATACCACTTTATAATGTTGAATCTCAGTGAATTTTCCCTCAATACTCTAGAGATAAGTATAGCCATGCATATGTTTGTTATGTTGCACATTTTGTTGCTTGATGATAGTGTCTCATATTAGTAAAGCCGGTATGAGATTCTTTTAGCATGCTTTGGTTATTACCAGACATTAAATACATATTTTGATGTATTTCTCACTAGATTGTACAGAGAGAATTGGGGCTTTAAAGAAGCTTACCAGCCCTACATTGTAAATGCCCAGAATCTAGTGTGACTTCAAAAATTTTATTATCTTCCTCAGTGCAGGCAGTTATGTATGTTTAAAGATGTTTGATCAAAAATCCAGAGATTCCATTTTAATGGATTAAAAAAGCCTATGGGCATTAAAAGATATTTTAAAAAAGGCTATTGACTAAATATCAGGAAATATGATTTTGGGCAAACTCATTTTACTTTACTGCGAAAAGACCTTATTAAGAACTATTAAGATTTTTTATTCAATTAATTTGTAAGACTTAAACTGCTACTTATTTTTGAATTGTGTATTTTTTAAAAAACTTTTTATACCTGAAGCTGCCATATCTGTCTAATACTTACCAACTATAATACCAGTAATACCAAACATTTAAGTTTTTCCTGCTGTGGCATACAGGCCTGTTTTTAAGAAATAAAATATATTCTTTAGAGTTTCATCAGGATATGACATGAAGTTGGTCACATGATCAAATTCTATAATGCCCAAAGGGTATTATATTACATTTGAATCTCATATTTTATCACAGTTTAGTTTTTTCTGTAATTTCTATCAAATGTTCATTCTTTTTTTATAATTATTATTTTGGATGTGTTTTAAATTATGGGATTTTTTCATAATTTTAGAAATTTTTTTTCTTTTTTGATGTTTTCTAGAATCATATGATTTCAGAATATGAAGCCCCACTACAGATGTAGATGTCCCTAAGTAATCATTGTGCACATCATATATATCTTGTGTAAGGTGAAAACTTCAGTACTTTGTAACCAAATGACTTTTAAGTTGACTGCATAGGTGTAAGATTGAATGTAATGTTTTCTTCTGATTATTCTACCAAAGGTCTAGGTCAAAAGGTAAAGGTAAATGAAAGGTCTATGTACAAGTTTTTTTTTTGTCTTTAAATTTTCAGATTAAAGGTCAAAAGTATCGACCTTTATTAGAATGAAATGAAAAGACAAATTGTCAGAAAATTCAACACAGACCTCTAAAAACTGAGGTGGGATCATGTGCCATTGAAGAGAAAGCATCCACTGTCAACTGGTCGCATCCTCTGTGTAACCTTTGTCTCGATCGAGTAAATGGAAAAATTCCTTGACAATTCAATGTGAAAATAATGGCCTAACAATTTGTATGAAAGACTCAGTCAACATCTGACCTAATGACGGATTGTATTTGCAAACAAGGTTGTATCAAACTAGCATTTGCAAAATGTTGACAAGAAATGAGATTGTTGATATTCTTGTATCAACAACTTATTTGTCAATAGCCAGCCTTGTTTTAGAAATTGTTCATAAGTAGAACATGCTCTTGCATATCCAATCAGCTCCACATGTTGGTGATAATATTAGACTGTATAAGAGAAGTAATGGCATGTCAAGTCATCGTGTTTATTATAAAGTTTAGTTGTTACATTGCCATCAATGTCTTTCTCTAGTATTATTTCCATATGTGAAACAGACGTGGAAGACTCCCTGTTTCTAATTTCAAGTCCAGTGGGGTATATATTGAATAAGCATAGGAATGAAAATAAATACTGTTAATTGATAAAAGGTCATCGATATATTGTAATGTCAAGTTCTTTTGTGTTGACTTCAGAGGTGGAAAATTGTTAATGTAAGTTTAATTGTTTATGTTTGTTATGAGTCAATTGATTGAAAGTCAAATTGAAAAGTCAAGATTATTGATGTACATGTAAGCACTCTGTGGGGATGCTGTACATATATGGCTTTTAAGTTTTCTGTTTAATAACATATAATGATACCTTGTTGAAATGTGTTACATGGTTTTGTTAATAAACTTTGGTTCTTTGAATTTTGTCTAACTGACTACAGTGGTCAAATTCTATTGGTGGGACCCCAGTATGTATTTAATTTATCTTAATTTATTACTTACATAATAATTTTATTAATTATTATTTTGCAAGAATGCATACATTGCATGTATCAGTCAGGTATTGCTGAAGCAATCGCAGTTTCATACCTTTTTGTCAGGTTTTAGCTGACCTGAGCCAAAGCATCAAATGAGCTTTTCTTATCGAAAAGTGTCCGATATCCATCTGTCGTCTGTACACTTTTCACATTTTTGACTTCTCCAGAACCACGGGACCAATTTCTACTTTATTCTTACTTTATTCTAACTGCTTATAAAAAGCCCGAAAAAAAATGTAATTTATGATTACGAAATCTTTTCATTAGCCCATAACTTCCTATGATTAACCTTTTAGCACAAAGGTCTCGTGTTCTGGGCAATTTGAAAGAAACATTTACAAAAGTAATCCATGTTAATAATATGCATGAAACACTAAGATAAAGATTTCAAAGTTTTTGTTTTTTTTTTGTTTTGAACAAACTTTATTGAATAAATCAAAAGGATTGGAAAAAATTCTAACAACTTACTGGGTCCCTCTCCTCATTATAATAGTATGTCATGCAAAATAGTTAATAGAAATGCGAATTTTACAAGAAATCACAAGTAGAATTGTGAAATTGAAAAGATTCTTGAGTTTCTGATTGACAACATTTATGTAGGATTTGGAGATTAAGTCTTCCAACAATCTGTCGGAATTCCCATGGGGTTAATTGCGCCCCGTTATAAGCAAACCTATTTTTGTATTTTTATGAAGCAGAATTTATTCAAAAACTTTTACATGAAAAGAAGTCTCTTGCTGTGGCGTTCAATTCAACATTTAGATATTTCGATGACGTTTTATCAATTAACAATACTCATTTTTATTTCTACGTTGATTTGAAATATACCTTTGAACTCGAAATAAGATACCACAAGAGTCTGACACATCTGTTTCATATTGGATATTTTACTAGAAAAAGACGTTACAGCAATGGTAACCTAACAAAGAAACTTTATGATAATCGTGATGACTTCAACCTTTTTAACGTCAACTTTCCTTATTTATGTAGCAGTATACCATTATCACCTGCATATGGAGTTTAGTCCCAGTTGATTCGGTACGCAAGAGCATGCTCTATACGTACGAACAATTTCTAAAACGACACGAACTAATGACAAACAAGCAAATTCAAAGAATTGTGGTCCCCCGCTTTCGGTGTCTCAGTGAATGGGGTGCCATTATTTGTGTCAAATATGAACGCCCTATTATATGTCATTTAAAAGTAATCACCAAAGAATTAGGTCAAACATGAAGGTCAAGGATTCAAAATCATAGAATGCTCGGAAACATTTTGTCACAGGTAATGCACATGTCTAATATGAAAGCCCTATCTCTTCTCAATCAAAAGTTATAAGGAAAGATATCATTTTTGTAAAGTAGGTCAAACTTCAAGGTCACGGGATCAAAAATCAAAGTATATTTAGAAAGGTCTTGTCACAGATAATATACATGTGTAATATGAAAACCCTATCTTTTCTCTTTCAAAAGTTATGACCAATTTAAAGTTGTGTTCAAATTTTTGAAAAGTAGGTCAAACTTCAAGGTCATGGGGTTAAAAACCATAGTATATTTGGAAAGGACTTGTCACAGGTAATGTGCTTGTGAAATATGAAAGTCCTATCTCTTCTCATTCAAAAATATTACTACCTTACCTAAATCAACAGTTAGGTCTACATCATATTCGCACCAAACTTTACTCTGTCCCTTTGAAACTCTTACATAGTCTTCTTGAAAAGGTCAAGGAAAGTCCCTTTTTTGATTCATCGAAACCAGAATATAGGCTCGGATCTGTGATTATGGATATTGCAAATCATAGGCTTTTTAAACCCTACGTTTTACTGAAGAAGAAGCAGCTAAACAGTCTTTTTTCCCCTTAAACTTCAATATGCCAATAAAGGAATTGACGCGGTTAATATAAGTAATATTCTTATTCACAAAAGGGTCCAGTCTTGTATTCCACCATATTTCAAATTAAAACTACACCTTGTATTTCCTACAAATATACATCGACTATTGCTTCCAAACTTTTTAATTACAAGGAAACCTTACAGTGCCTGGATATCGAATATCTGAAACATAATCCTCCATCGTGTTCATGTTCTTCTTCACCCTATAACTATAGTCCTGCTGGACACGTTATTACTGGTGACGTAAATATAGGTAATAATGAGGACCTTAGATCACTAATTTTAAAAGATCCTAAACATAGGGAACCCCGATCCTTCAACTGGCGTCGGAATTTCATAAATATTATGGATTCTGTAGAGGATTACACCAAGCGATGGGCCAGACATGAAAAAGAAGACCTTGACACTTTGTCAGAATGGATTAAATGTATCAGATTTATGTTAAAATCGCGCATTAAAAGATTGAGAGGCAATATGAGAACCATCTATCTTTCTGTATTCAATAATCCAGAAGTTAAAAAAATAATTAGATAGATTACATTATCAGTACGTACTGGTCCTTGCTGACAAAGCAGGTAACAACATTGTCTTTGTTTGTAAGGCTCATTATATTGAATGTATTTTAGAGGAACTTGGATTTAATTCTACAAGTGGCAATCCAGCTTATACTCATAATTCTCTTTCTAAGGAAGAAATTCTTCAAAATCATATGTCAGTTTTGAATATTTTTAATATTCCAAACAACCAAAATGAATTTGAATTACCATATCTATATTGGATTCCGAAACTTCATAAAAATCCTTACAAACAAAGATACATAGCGGGTTCTAGTAAATGTTCAACCAAGCCTCTTTCTCTACTCCTCACTAAGATATTAACAGTAGTGAAGGGGAAACTTCTAGAGTATTGTGCAACAATATATTCGAGAAGTGGTGTAAATCAGATGTGGATACTTAAAAATTCCAAGGAACTTTTGGAAAATTTGAAATCACAAGATTTTTCCAAAATCAACAGCTTAAAAACTTACGACTTTTCAATTTTATACACAAACATTCCCCACGAAAAATTAAAATCCAGGCTTTTTCATATCATTGACAGCTGCTTTTTCAATAAAAATTTACTTACCTTGTCATTGGTCATTTGCAAAATAATTTTGTTAAAAAACATTCTGATTGTACACACAAGTACTCTGAAGTTGACATTAAAAAGATGCTTGAGTTTCTGATTGACAATATCTATGTGGTTTTTGGAGACCAGGTCCTCCTACAATCTTTTGGAATTTCCATGGGTACCAATTGCGCCCCGTTATTAGCAGACCTTTTTTGTATTCATATGAAGCAGAATTTGTCCAAAGTCTTATACGTGATAAGAAGAAAACACTTGCTGGGGCCTTCAACTCGACATTTAGATATATCGACGACTTATTGTCAATTAACAATGGTTATTTCCATTCTTATGTCGATACGATATATCCCGGTGAGCTTGAGATAAAAGATACTACAGAGTCTGACACATCTGTTTCATATTTGGATATTTTACTTGAAAAAAGACGTTAATGGTAATCTAACAACAAAGCTTTATGATAAACGTGATGACTTTAACTTTTCAATCGTCAACTTACCTTACTTATGCAGGAATATACCTTCATCACCTGCATACGGGGTTTATATCTCTCAGTTGATTCGAAACGCAAGAGCATGCTCTACGTATGTACAATTTCTAAAACGAGGTAAATTATTGACAAACACGTTGATGAAACAAGATTATAAGCAGTCTCGTTTAAAGTCATCATTTCGTAAGTTCTATGGTCGATACAATGTCCTTGTCAGCAAATACAATTTATCATTGAGTAAAATGCTGACTAACGTTTTTCATACTAATTGTTAGGCCATTATTTACACACTGAATTGTCGACGGATTTTTCCGTTATTTCCCGATCATGACAAGGAGCACACGGCGGATGTGACCGGTCGGCAAGGGTTGCTCACTCCTCCATGGCACCTGATCCCACCTCTGATGTTTTGGAGGTCCGTGTTTGCTCTGCACCTATTTTGTTATGCAGGGACGTGGCATCGTTTTTGAAAGGGGGGAGGGGGGTAGCCAGAGAAAAACTTATGTGAAAAAAAAATCGAAAATCCTATTTCGGGGGGGGGGGGGGGGGGGGGGGGGTTAGGTTCCAACTTCTTTCAGTACCGAATTTTACACACACTACTACATTACCCTTATTTGACTATACTGCAAGAAAAAGTGGGGGGGGGGGGGGGCAGCCATCCTTTCATGAACATTTTCAATAGTAAAAACTTACGTTTGGAAAAAAAGTGGGGGGGGGGGGCAGCCCCCCCCCCCATGCTACGTGCCCGTTATGTTTAATGGACTTTTGAGCTTGAATACTGTTCGTTATCTCCATATATTTCATTGTTAATAATTGAAATCTGCATATTGGGGTAGTAAATTGTTCTTTATTACGGGTATTGTATTTTGTATTTTTAATATATTTCCACGCTTGTGTGGGACAATATTACTCAAATATTCAGGTACACTACCATTGTGAATTTTGAACTTAGTAGTCAATTTGTTAATTACCATGGTTACCGACTTCTTGACCATTGACCTTTGACCTACTTTTCAAAATAGGTAACTCTATGCTCTTTAGCTTGTACACTGTTTGTCATAAAACATTATTAAAAAAACTAATGTTACAATCCACTTGAACTTTGACCTAAAAAATGTATAAGAAAAAAATTTTTAAAAAAAATACCCCGGACAGTTTCATTTTACTTAGGTTGTTTGAATTTTGATAGGCTGGGGTTTGATAATTTGCATTTATACAAGTTTATGAGCTCATTATATTGCACTTTGAAACTGTATGCAGTTATCACCCAAACTTATACTTCAATAGTTTGAAAATGAAACGGGATCGTATTCCACAATGGAACGTGTACTGACAATGGAAGACAAAGTGAAAATGTTTCATTTTTCAAATGAAAAATATCAATAGTTTTGCAAACCTGTTCAACAGTGATGATAAATTTACCTTAATTGTCTTGGCAAAATTTTGCAAGATTGTAATGTCTTTATTTCACTCTTGAAATTCCTTCCAATACCTCTAAATTAATATTGTATATATGTTAATCCTTTGTTCATTTGTTACCCTTGTTAATTTATTTCTTTTTGTACTTTTATGCCTCATGTGAGGCCATAAAGTGAATAAAAATGTTTCAATGTTGCAATGGAAGTAAAGACAGACTAAAATGTCTTTTGGAGGGTTGTTGGAAATATGTATTGATAAAATGATAAATAATTATTTCTAATAATTTCAATTTAATTATTCGTTTGAGGGTTGAGGAACCATATTTTCTTTCATTTTCAATTCTATCGCTGTCTTATACTATCCATGGATGTTTCTTTTTCTTTGCAGGCAAATGCATGGACTTTAATGCTAGTAGCAATAAATAGTTGACCACTCTATAATTTACATTTTTAATAAAGCTGCAAAGCAGGCGAGACATGCATTCCTTGGAACATTCTAGTCTGTAGTAATTCCCATAGTTAATTAAATCATGCCAAAACTATGCTTTCAGCTCATCAGATTTTCCAAAACTGGACTAAATGATTTCTAAGGAAAATATTTCTTTGATAAAAAATGCTGATCTGAAATTCTATTGATACCATTGTTCCCGAGTTCTCCTTTAAAATGCAACCGTTTATTTGCTTTAAAATATTCAATCGAACGATCGATCGAAAATTTTGAATTATATAATCTTAATTGTTATTGAATAAAGAAACTTTTTAAAAAGTGTTTGAATATATAAATATTTATGTTGTCTCTTAGTAATGACCAAAACCTTATGAAGATTGGTTCAAAGATATGTATAAGATACTTAGCCTGGTTAATGGACATAGCTCTATTTATACCCTTTCTCTGTAAGAATGGGTTTGTGCGTGATAACATCTTGCAATTTTAAGATCCATGGCATATAATTTAAATGTTGAACGCATGCTGTTTTTGCTGTAATTTCTGGAAGAAGAGGAAAAAAGTTTCACTTTCAGAAAAGAGTAATCCCCTCTTACAATGTAAGTAATCCGTAGTCAAAATGGTATAAAATCAAAGGTCTAACAATGGATATGTCAGCCAAAATACAGGCCAAGGAGAGTTTGAATTGGCAAACAAGGTTCTTAGAATGAATAATAACGAAAAACAGTAGCCTGCCTCTTAAAAATTGACAGTGCTCAAAACATGTGCTTGCGTATCGAATCAGTTGGGAGACATGAACATCATATGCAGGTGATACTGGAATATTTTTGGGGATGTTGATGATGGAAAAGTTAAAGTCATCCTGTTTGTCATATTCAATGTAGTTTAGTTGTTAGTTTGCTATTAACTTTTATAGTTAGTAATAGTAAATTTTAACAAAGTAATTTCGTAGACCTATCACAAGATATGAAAAATGAGTTCCTTTTTTTTGTCTGTGATGTCTAAAAGCCTGGTGTTTAATTTATCGTGAGGAATGGTTGTAAAAATTTTGAGAAGTCATACGTCTTTAAAATTTACATTTGGCTCTGGAAAAATTTTTATGATTCCAACTTTACTAAAAGGTATTTGGAGTTTTTTTTTTTAAAGCACATTTGAATTGCTCAAGATTTTGAATATGCTTTAGCACAGTGCGTCTGAGTTTCTTCTTCACAGCAAGTTTAATATTTTTATGAAGAGTAAATATATGACCTTGGTAAGTATTTACTGGACCCTGCAATGTATTTTTGTTAGTGAGGATTTTTATGAATTGTTTAATCCAGTTAAGGAAGGGTAAATCAAATTCACTTCCGTTGACTAGAATGTTAAAAATATTTAAAACTGAAACGGAATTATTCAGTGTTTGTCCTTTAAAAGGGAATGTTGGGTATAAGTTGGATTTCTAATTGTGAAGTTTAAGCCAAGTTCTTACGCAATACAGTAGTTATAATGAGCCTTACATACAAAGACTAACCCATCGTCTAGCATACCCTCGACGGAACACAAAATTGAAATGAAGTTTTGTCGCCTATGAAAGGTTGGAGCTTCCTAATGCTATAAAAGAATCAAATAATTCAGAAACAAAACCAAATTTAAAGGGGGAGAGAGGGAGGAGGGCAGAAAATGCTAAATAAAAGAATTTTCATATCCACTGAATTGAACCCTTCAGCCTTCAGGTTCACGTCAGTTAGGGCTCTTTATTTTGGAAATGTGCATTTCAAATTAAGGACCCTCTATACAATAATGGAACGATGTCTTTTGAACTCCGACGAAATTATTTCATGTAAAGATGTATAAATTTAGAGTTTATCTATTTCATTTTTTCGACGTAGGGTACCTGCCATTTACCCCCAAGAAATGAAGTATTGTTGAATGAAATCACTGTTGCTAAATGAAATGATTAAATTGCTGTAATTGATTACAGATTCACTAATAAATTTTAGATTCCAATTTATTTTGTTTTAGATCAAAGGGAAGATCACTCGAACTGCATAAAATACATTTGGCAAGTTCTATGGTCGATACAATGACCTTATCAGCAAATACAATCTATCATTAAGTTGAATGCTGACTGACGTTTTTCATACTACATGTAGTTGTTAGGCGATTATTTACACATTTAATTTTCTACGGATTTTTCCGTTTGCCCGATCTTGACATTGAGTACATGGCGGGTGTGACCGGTTGACAGGGGATGCTTACTCCTCCATGGCACCTGATCCCACCGCTGGTACTTTTAGAGGTCTGTGTTTGTTCTGCTTCCAATTTGTAATGTTTCGGTGGACTTTTAGCTTGATTCGAAAATAACGAATCACACACACACACACACTATAAAATACAATAAACTTTGAGCTAAATTATTTTTATTATTATCATTATCATCATAATCATTATTTTGCTTTCCTGTAATTATTTACTACTTTATCCAAAAGTTTGTTGACTAACACTTTTGCATATACTTTTACAGGTTTATCAATCAGGATATTTTGATGATGTTGTACATTTCTTTGACGTTTATGAACAGCCTATGCAACGCCTGCATTCAGTTTTCTTCTTCACAGCAAGTGAAGCAGAGTTTATTCCAAGATCTTGCTGACAAAGGAATTAATATAATTTTCTTCGACCTAGCATTCTATGGCATAGACAATGAAACGTTTATTGAGGTTGAAAAGCGAAGAAGATGGGTATGGATCGCAAAAGATCAACGATATGTTCTGGGTTATCCTGAAGATGTCGACGTCTTTAGTTTTGGTCTGTTGAAAGCAAAACAAGATTTTCTCAAAGTCAATATATCCATAGGAAACTTTTCAACGGATTGCAGATTGCATTTTGACAAATACCTTTCGCAATATCTGATGCATATTATTAATGAAAATGATACCATCTCTAGTCAGGACAATAGACAAATTTGCCACTCAAAAATTGAATCTTATGATAAAATATCAGAATTCATAATCAACCTATCTGGAGTTAAAATTGGATATCATTTTTGGTGTCTAACTAAGAACAACGAATTTGAAGTTGTGGAGAAATCTTATGTTAATGTTATTGTTATTATTATCATATTGTTTCTGTACGCGTTTTATCCACTTATCATAGAAATGGCATTTTATACTCACAGTACCAACTATAAAACCCAGTTTTACAGATATTATAAATCAGATTCTCCGTACAGTCCGGCAAGGTTTCTTTTGCGATTAATTTATACAGGGAGTAATAAGTACTTTGCCGCTTTGCGAATTATTATCCTTGTAATGGTTCTTACATCCCTAGTGTACCTTGCAAAATCAGAGGTGTACAGTAAATGCGATTGTTCCTTAAAGTCTTCCAACGACGAAGGAAAATTTCAGCACGCAGAAAACTATTATATGACTACAGTAAATAGATTTTTTGTTGCATGGGGTGTTTTGAATTTCGCACTTGTCAATGCATGTGTTTTGATGAATTCTGGTGGCATATTTGACGATTTTCTCATTATTGATCTAAGTAATATTTGTGCAGATGGGAATATATTTAGGCTGATTCCAGTTATTGTATTTCTGCCTGTTGTGTCTAAAGACGCTCTCCAATCAGACGAAATGAAAAGTGTCTCAAGAACGTATACTACGGAGAATTTCACGACAGAGATGATAAATGATACTAATACAGTGGAAGACACACGATTTGAAAAATCTTTGGTGTCATTTAAAATTCACAAGCTGTCATTAATATTGTCCTACAAGTTTTGGACTAGAATATTTCTAATCAGGGGT